CTAACAGGTGATCGCGCCTAAGGGACTGCTGCGCTGATACTGCCGCTGCTGTTGCTGCTATTGCTGCTGCTGTGAGTGCTCTCGTTAACGCAGGCACACCGCTTGACGTATCCCATATTTTATGTAGATACGCTCGAGCGCCGCGCGCTAAAATAATATCGTCTCCGATCACATCGGGCCCGATCACATCGGGCTATCGAGCCTCAGCCACCGAGTTCAACGGATACGACCGTTGTTGCGGGACCGATTCGGTGACGGTAAATAAAAGATATCGTAATTTATGATAATCGACCGGAAGATATCGACGCGGACCATCGATTGCGTCCTCGTTCATTTTGTCCATCTTCGCGATAAATCATGCGTCTTAACATCTCACGAACACATTACGAGATAACATGCCGGGATAGAATTGAGTTTTATCTGGACCAAGTCTCGCTTTCCCGTACAGAGATACTAGTTTCACCTTCCTCTGCCACGGTGTCCGCCACGTGCTGGTCGAGCCTGAAGAGTTTAATTGGATTGAAAATTGTATTGAATCAGATTCGACGCGATGCGGGTCGAGCGTAGCTCGGCGTAAGAGCGCGAGGCTTTAATGGCGATTGCGAGGGGGATACACTTTGCTTCGCGCGAGTGAGATTGGACAATCTGTTGATTTCTTGTTCTTCACTTGCGCGGTGAATGTGCCCGACCCATTCACCTGCGCGCGGCGTAATCTATGGTAACGTTATTAATTCAACAATCGCGTTCGGGTACACCTGATAGTCGCAAAAAGTGATATAACGGAGTAGTGGATTAGGTCGCGTGCTACAACGCACGATGATTAATGCCTCGAATGATCGGGCATATTTGCTATCCAACGTCGGGCCGCTGAAAGGAATGAGAATCGAGACGGCGAGCAGCCGATTTGTGACGTCTCTACCAGATAGTTTCATGAGACTTCAAGATTCATGTACGCGCGTATGTACGTGTACATTAAAAGAAGAAGTATCTAAAAGGTAAAACGTTTTTATTTGGCGGATACTAATAATATATGTTTAATATATGTTAATATACATTAATATGTATATGTTAATATATGTTAATATACATGTTTTTATATTGAGAAAAATTTTTAAATGGAAAAACCAGTCGTAAAAGAGGTTAATTGGCACTTCTTCTATGTTTCGAAGTTACAACTTCTCAGACAACTAATTCTTGTGCTTGATTGTTCCCTGGTCTCCGTGAGAGATCTCCATAAAGGGCCTGCTGGCCATTGAATAGCGGCCAACTTTACCACGTGTGTCCGTATACTCGATTTCAATCATTTTGTGAATGAAAATTGCTTTCATTACGTGCAACAGTGGATTATGCACTTGCAGGAGACTATTTTAACTAATGTAGTATTAACTAATAGTTATAACATGTTACTTAAATTTATTTATTTTAGTAATAGTTAGTTATAACTAACTATTACTTAAATTATATTAATATAATATACTATAAAATTAATTAAATTTATTTAAGTAATAGTTAGTTATAACATATTACTTAAATATATTTAAGTATTTTAACTAATAGTTAGTTTTAACATGTTACTTAAATTTATTCTCTCACGATAGAAAATATTACTTATAATTTTGAATTGGTAAATATTGCTACAATATTACTTACAATTTAATAATTTTTGTGTATAATATATATAATACCTGTTTTGTTTACCTGAAGGTTATAGCTATATGAAAATGTGCACAATATTAAAAAATCTGATAAACATCTTTTTTCTTTAATCAATATGTAAAATCTGTGACAACCAGAATCCGGTCTTGTCTATTAACACGTCTTCGAACGACGCCGCGATCAATGATCTCCTTTTTGGCCTTCATTGGCCGCTTAATACTCGTCCAACTTGTCGTTTATTGACATGATACGGTCGTCTACAAAGCGTTAATTGGCTGCGGTCGCGCGAATCCGGTTTTTACCAGAATGACTTTCTTATCTCATCGAAGAAACAGTTAACGTACTGAATTATACTTATACCCGGAGACCATCATTAATCTGCCACGAGCGTTTTTAATGCAGCCTGATGCTTTGACGTTTTAATATAACGGATGTAAACGATTCGATATAAATTATTAATCGAGTCACGACCTTTTCGTCTTATTACAGAGATCCGTACAAGTAGCTTACACGGGACATTTTGCTCTCTCAACACCGATCTATCTCTCTCAATATCTTCGTAGGAAGTGAATTCAACAAATATGTAGCGCCGATATCGTATCTTAAAAGTGTAATTATGCGCCGTTCAGTCGAGTTCTCGCGCCTCGTGCTATTTCAATGCGGCATCTGCGGAGTGAAGCTCTCTAAAATGGAAGTGGCACGCACGTGTGAATTTCTGGCCGTAGCGGCCGGAGCGCCTCCCAAGAAGTCGAGGGAGGCACCGGAGATACAATTACTTCACTCGTCTGAGTAAGTTTTTACGATCTGCTCCCGGCTCGCCCAGTTTTTCCTGGCTGTAGAGCTGGTCGAGGAGTCCACGAGTTCGCCGGCCGGCGACGGTCAACGACCAGAAAATACGCGCGATTGTGCGAATACTTAGTACAAGAAGAGGACGAAGAAGAGTCCTGTCTACCATGGCACGTACGATCGGAGTCAATGGGTAATCATCGACCCGCAGACCCACATTTTCCATCGGCCGATATGACGCATTCCTACAACGAGACAAGAGTTATCAATCAAAATGCGGCTGCTTAGCATCTCCCTCTCGACTCATAACTTTGAAACAGTAGATTCTCCTTTTCTTCATACAATATTAGGTTCGTGATGGACGTACAGTTCAGCTTTCTAATATCTGTATGGCAAGAAAAGTTTTGTTGGATTAACCGGATTGCTGGTGAAATAAGAACAATCCAGAAATTCCGATAAAATTTATCAGAGTTATATCCAAATTAACATGATTTCTGATAAACTCAACCGGAATTTTCTGATTCGTTTTTATTTCATCGAAAGTTTGATTAATCCAACCAAACAATTTTTCCGTGTGTATACTCTGAAGCTTATATTAATACACTGTAGAAACTGCGACTCTACTTAGCCTCTAAATGACAGGAAACGTAGTGATAAAGCTAATAGATTAAACAGATTAAATAGAATAAAAAAAGATTGATATGAACGTCAGAGTATATAAATAGACATCAAGTAGAACATTAAAGTCAAAAGTAGGATCAAAGTAGGTTTGTCTCAAGTTATTACATAGATATAGTATAATAAGGGTCCAATATTTGCACCGTGTGCTGTCACTTCGGCTTATAGTTGACTACCACGTAAGCTCATAAAGCAATGGCTCCCAATTGTGACAATTTGACGCATTTACAACTTGATCGAAAAAAATTACTTTCAGATCATTTCGCAAACGCGTGCACATCGAGAGTAACAGATCTCAATTCAGATTCTAACAACTCCTGTCCCTCTCTCTGTCTCTTTGAGGAATGTTTCGGAAAATAAAGGCAGGTAATCGTAGGCGAGACACAAGTAATGGAAATTCTCATGAAGAAAGACTACAAGACGCGCCGGCCGTGTAGTCACGGCCGTGAAATTAATAAGGGAGAAAAGAGAAAAATGCAAGTTGCTGACGCGCGTAACAAATGACGAGCGAATATGCCACTTTAATCGGCGCGAAGCGATTTACGCTCCTCGTATTTACTTTCCTTGCAGCGCGCGCGAGTGCGATATTCTTATTTCCAACAGTTAATCACTCCCCGATGAAGTTGCTGAGAGGATCGTCGGCGCGCGATCATTCCGCGGCCGCGTCTCCGCGAAGAGATCCGCTACCGGTCGCGGCTTCACGTTTCGGCAGGTAATTCGTTCCGCGCCGGTTCTCTCTCTCTCTCCCTGCCGGCCGGCCTGGCGCGGCAAAAGAATCGAAGCTTTACCGTTACCCCGCGCTCATCCGACTCGCGCCGTAATTACTGTTGCCACTCGCTTCGGCATCTTCGGCTGAAATCGCGGATGCTGCGGTGCCGCTCCCGTATATATACCGGTCGTATTTATAGAGCCCGCTTGGGAAGGCCGTGTGTGGCGCCTAGATATCCAGGCGATACGAAACGAGCTACCGATCGCGGCCTGCCGATCGTCGGAGTGGAGATCGCACTGCGGTTGCGGGTTGCTGTGAATTACAACGAATTGATAATGCGGAACGGGCTCGAGCATGCATCACGGCCGGCGAACTTGGAAAATAATACCGTACCGTTCGTCTTGTATTTCCTCGCGGCTTTTGCGCGAGTCTCGCGCTTTCCTTTTTGCAGGTTCCACTGCGGTTCCATTCAAGAGATTCTCCAATATCTCTTGAGCTACCGTTACAACGTCAGAAAATTACATTGCGCAAGTATGGAGGAGAAAGAGAGCTTAGCGGAATTGGCGTCTCTCCTCGTGCATATATTGAGAGAAAAATATCTAAAAATTAGTAAATATTTGTTGAGTGGATGCTTACAACACATATTCACTTAAATTTAAATTCTTTTATTTAAAAAGAGATAAAAAATTTTAATATTTTATTTAAATAGAAAAATAATTGCTTTTTCATGGAAAAGAGAGGTTAAAGTTTCAAGAAGATATATATTTCTTTATGTGAAAAATGTTTTATATAAGTAAATATGCTGTCAGTGTACATCCCTACCAAATAAATATTTACTACTTCTTAGATATTTTTTCTCTCAGTGTAAAGGTTTCCTTCATCAAAAGGACTTTCCGAGTTTTGCGGATGTGCGCGGATTAAATGGAGAAGAAGAATCCATACTACTAATGACAGCGTGCATTGATAGATTGTCTCATTATCATAAGTGCGGCTTTATCAAGAAGCGTGGAAATTAACGGGTCATTAGAGCCACGCGAAATGAAGAGACGCTCATCGCTCGTCTCGTCGACACACGCGGCTCCTCTTCCGTCCGGCCGATGAGAAAGCAATCATAAAGCTCGTGATTGTTTCCAAGAAATCGCTTGTGCCCGAATAACACGGCGAATCGTGATTTTTGTTAGAGCCAAACCTGTTTTGTTATTTATTGGCGAATATACCATATTCCATACATAGTTGTGTTATATGTGTGTGTGTTTGTATGTGTTATACAATCAAATGAGCAGGAATGCGTTACACTTTACAATATAATTTCGAGACTATTGAGTTGTTATTTGTTCGCAGTATATTGACTCGTGTATTCGCAGAATCCACACTCTTTGCACTTGCACGCGTGTATATGAAATAAACGTCAAGGCAGCATAAATCGCCGATGGCAACATGTTTATGTGGTTACGTGCGCCTCCGCTCATTTTCCCCTAGAAAAAAAGAGAAAAGTGACGCCTTAATCGGCTGCGTAAACGTTCGATAGCGAAATTTCTCGGATGCAACACTTACCAACTGCCAGAGGAAGAATGCGCCGAAGCCGAAGAGGAGGACCAACTACCGCCGCCACCTCTTCCGCCACCTCCACTATTTTGGAGAAGCAAAAAGAATCGTAATTAATAAGGAATCGAACGAAACAGCGACATAAACGTCGATGATGGTTGTACCATGCAAATATTGGCGGTTTAGGAAATCCGATATATATGAAAATGCTAAATCAAACTCACGAATAATTTAGAATACAACTTTCAAACACAATTCCAGCCAATCGTTGGAACCGGTTTTACGCTGCTGAAGCGAACAAAAATATCGCGATCGTTAAGTATCTCGTTAAGTATCTCGTAAGATTGCCTCGGTGTACAGAGAGACTTTTATAATAAGAATAATAAGAATAATAAGAATTACTGTAGAACTTTGTAACTGAAGAATAAATCGACATTCTGCAGTAATTGACTGTCCTTCCATTTCATGTATATTACTTATGCTTTTTAGGAGTTGAAATGTGCCATTACAAGAATTTGCTACACACAGAAAAGTACATACTACATTTGAGTAAATGTTACTTGTTTAAAGTATTTTACAAGTATTCGAAAATCTATTATTAAGAAAGAGAGAGAGAGAGAGAGAGTTCATTATAAGCATAAAACTTATTTAAACACATTCTGAATTCTAGTAAATTTAGCATTTCAATCAAGAATATAAAATAAAGACAAAAATTCAGTTTACTTACTATATAGAGTCGAGTCGACTGTTTCGACTATAAAATGTTCTATTATTCTTGTAGAGACAATAAATTCTTCTTTTAAGTAATGAGTTTTTTGTGAAATTTGTGACAGATACATTTTAAAATTATTATCAAGAAAATATTCTTTTTTGAAAACAGTATTTTACTTGTAAGAAGGAAAGTAAATTGAATAACTTGTTTCTTAACAATATAAGATGAAAGTGAATTTTGACAATGATATTTTTCTGTGTATATGTTTCTAATGAAATTTACTATGTTGCTCAGCAAGATGGAACTTATTGACAGTCTATTTCTGCACTGTTAGGAACATAATAAAATTGTAAAGAATTTATATGAAAAATTAAAAAAAGGAAAACATATTCACTCCGTGTAGGAACGATTGCGTTTGTTGATGATTGGCCGCCAACAATTGCATGGTTTTTGCAAGATCTGCGAACCATCGTCACGTTCTGTAAATAATATTATGTTGATAATATACCCGCATCCACGGCCGCAATTTCCGCCTCCGCGTCCTCCGCCTCCTGCAATTCCAATAGGTATGACTACAATCGGCACAACAGCTATACTTTGTCCTGAACAAAGCATGCCCCTGTTAAGCGCTGTTTACGATGGGCTTCGGCAAGAATGGCGTGTTAGTGTTACTTTAAGATGTGACATTTTGGACGTTATGTATTGGCCGTGGTGTTACGTGATTATAATCTGCAAATTCTGTCATGATGCTTTGACATTAGTTGCCAAGGAAAGCCAAGCAAGTAAAAATTTCTGTTATAATCAGTTAGTACCTTAACTGTATTGTTAGTGTTTTTTTTTAAATCTTACGTATCGTATAAGGTATTTAATTAATGTTACGTTTTTAACAATCAGCAGGTAGTAAGGTTACGTTGTTCACATGTAATTTTCGTGGTTTCTACATACATAAAAAAATCATTCGATCGAGTGCCCTTAAATCGTTTCATTAGTGCTCAGTCGTTATCGGGTCGATTCATTAGACGCTGCAGACGCTTTGAAACGCTTAAAGAAAAGCCGTGATTGATCTATGCGGCACTTGAAAGCATTTGTAGCGTGCAATGGATTACACTCATCGTCAAGTATGTTCTTCCGTGAGACGTTATACGCGCGATTCACATATTTATTTTCCTATTCGAGATTACGCAAGAATTATGAAGCATCCGCGATCCTCTCTAACAAATCTAGAAAAATCTAGTAAAATTATGTGCGTGGTCATCAATGCATTTCGATTCTTAGAAACGTGCATGGTAAATAGCTCACTTTTGCAAACAATCCATGCGATATTCTTACAAACAATCCACGCAATTCCCAGATAATTGCTAGCATGACGTAGTTGCGCTCACACACGTGGTCAAGATCCTGCTATGTGAAAACCGGAGATCTTGATGTTGCCCGAAACTACCGAGGATACCCTCTCCACCGCAGATCTTTCGCTAATTCTGAAGACGGTTTTTCCTCGTAAAAAAATAAGCATCAAGTGAGATCACGTCATTGCATAATTTTGTCATCCGTTTTGTCTCCTAGTTTAATTTGAAAGCTTCATATTTGGTCATCTCAAAATTACTCGAATTACCCGAAAATTACAAATCGACAAGGAGAGAATTTTAGGATAAGAATCACAACAAAATTTCATAACCGTGAAATAGATCGACATTCATAGATCTACTAAATAAATATTTTTTTATTTTTCAGATATTTCTTTCTCTCAATGTATATTGAGGAAAAAATGTTAGAGAATTTATTCGTAGAATATAAAGTTTATTTACATAAGTAAACTTCATTTCACAAAAATAAACTTTATATCCAAAATAAATTTTCATGTGCTTTTTCTCAGTGTAGAAACTGAAATGTATCATTGAAGTATTTGTTATGTTCTTTAGCAGGATGGATCTTATTGACGGTCCATTCCTGCGCCGACACATAAAAACACAGTAAAAGAACTGAAGAGAATTCATATATGAAAAGAAAGGAATATTTCTTCCGCGTGTATGCAACGCAATCGAGGAAAAATCGTCTTCGAATCGGTCAGAGAGTCCGTGATGGCGAGAGCATTCGGCGGTTTTAAGACGTGTTGCACGTAATCGACCTACGTATACCTACCAGTTCCACCACCACTAGGAGGATAATAACTGCCGCCACCACCGCTAGGATAATGACCTCCGCCGCCGCCACCTCCACTAGGATAATACCCTCCGCCGCCGCCACCCCCGCTAGGATAATGTCCTCCTCCTCCGCCGCCGCCACCCCCGCTAGGATAAGAACCTCCTCCGCCGCCGCAGGTGGAACATTGTCCACCTCCGCCGCTAACAGCGGGATAATAGTCTCCACCGCTCGGATACCCACCCCCCCATCGTTTTCTGCCGCCGCCGCCGCCGCCGCCACAGCTGAAGCAGATGGTCCTCTTCTGACGGGGTTTCGTCTCGTCGTCCGACTTCGAAGCCGACTCCTCCATACTCTGCGCCTCCTCCTTTTTCACTTTCATCCTGAGCACCTTCGTCTTGCCGTTATGATCGATCTTGTCGACCTTGTAACCTTGGTCCTTCAATCCCACGGCGAATTCGTCGAGGTCAACGGGCAAGTGTTCCTTCTCGTCTTCGTCGTTTTCCACCACTAGGAGAACGGTGGCCAACGGCTCTGCAAAGATGTACTTTTTATTCGATTCGTTATTATCTTGTCTTCGTTCAATTGCCGATCGTCATTTGTAATAGTATTTCCAGTTGTTATTTTACACCGTGTTACAAATCGACATGTTGAATTTCGTTCACAATTGAAAGAAATTGGAATATTTCGTGTACAATCGCGGACAGAAAGGTTGTCCGCCTTTCTTCATGAGTTTAGGAACGCATCCTGTCTTGTCTAATGGGAGAAAATTCTTCTATTGAAAAAAATAAATTTTTCTATTATATCAGACAGGATATACTCCTAAACTCCCAAAGTAGTCGGGCAACCTTTCTGTCTGCGATTGCGCACACTTCACTGCAAATCCAAGTGTATTATTGTTAAACGCATAAGTCTGTGTAATTTGGCTGAAGGTCTTTTTTACATCTTTGTTGCGGCTTTAAATCACGTTATTTGACACGTTTAAAACGTGCTTTTTTTTAATTAAAATTTAATACGTTTAAACGTGTTAAATGACGTGAGTTAAAAAAAACATGTCAGAAGATTCAACCAATATACTTACACCAAATAATACACTTAAATTTTTACACTTACCCAGCAGATCTGGTACAGTCTCGACGATTTCATTTTTGAGTACCTGTTCCGACTCATTGCTACTGCTGTTTAAAGCGTACAGATTAATAATAAAAACTGTAGCGTGGTGTTCCTTTTCGTCCAACGGCGGCGGTTGCAGCTCAGTCGGCAATGAGCGATTTTCGACTTCCTTTTCAAGCGCTGCTAATTACGATAAAAAATGAATCCATCATTATGTGAGAAAAAATAAGAAGAGATTACGGCATCTGACGCGAGGTAGGAATCTTGAACTAATCGCGGTTGGATTTATTCCAGCGCGTGCATTCTCACGTCACTGTTATTTTCGAAGAGAAGTACAATCTCGTCAGTTGCATGCTGAATCAATCACATAGTTTGCTCAGTCTGTTTCTCTATTTGTCAATATTATGTCTAAAATTGTGAACAGAGTTTTCAGAGTAACTAGAATATTATGGATTTTAACGTCATATATATATATATATATATATATATATATATATATATATATATATTATCGCGAATCTATCGCATTGAGCAACAGGATGATTTGGTAAAATGTTAAGAACGTGTTGTAAGTGTATATTATTCTTAAAAATTACGTCGGGATCACACGCGCGTCGAATCGACGTGAAAAAAAATCATTATCTATAAAAGATTACAGAATACATACTGGCAATTCTGTGAATTCACGTGATTTCTAAAAGGTTAATGTTATCTAAACAAATACTTATTAAAATACTCTTCAACCATATAAGATCGTTAGACCGATGAGAGTCGTAGAATATGTGACACGAGAATTTAATATGCTGAAGAATAACAAATACGTAACTTTGTTAACTTTTTTGGCAATGCCATATACATATTTTTATTATTATTAAAATATTTATATCGTACAATTTTTCTCTTTAAAATTTCTAAATGTGATTTAACTTTTTACATAACTAAACAATTTTTCATATAAGAAATTTTATTACATTTGATATACATCGAACTTTAAATTATTATTAAATTCTCACCTATGATTAAGATAAAGAGGTAAAAAAATTTAAACAAACTAAGGATCGTATTAATAGACATTATTTGAAACTTGTCTCAAGTGAGATATTCAGATTTCAATACAGAGTTAGATGAGAGACTTTCTATTGAATCGCAACTACAGATGTAAACGTCACGTTTATCGTAATTCAGCTGAAAAAACTTGGATTTGACTCTGAATAAAAATCTGAATATTTCACCTGAAATAAGTTTCAAATAATAATTTAATACGGATTTAAGAGTGTTTCTTCTTAAAGTCAAAGAAAAAGGCTAATAAATTTTCTATTGTTATTACTTTATTAGTTGAACAATAATTAAGATAGAGAAATTAAAAAATTTAAACGGAAAGAGAGACTAAAAGTGTGTTACTGGTTAAATTAGTCGAAGAAAGAAGCTGGTATACTTCATCATGAAAATAAATTGTAACGCGTACGAAAAGAGAAAGAGAGAGAGAGAGAGAGAGAATTTTATGAAATATAATTATGATAACGTCACCATTTCTTCACGATGCTTTCTTACTTTCATGCTACGAACAGTTTATCTACTCACTTGGTAGGCCTGAAAGGCCCGTCACGAGGGAAAATAAGAGCACTACGTTAAGAGCACCAACAGCCATCGTGAGGGCGTACGGTGTTCCCAGGATGCACTGCATGCCGATCCTTTAATCTCGCCGCTTTTATAGTCATCGATTCGACGCGCCTGTGATCCTGATGTAATTATGTAACGCGGAGCCACCTCCACCGCTTTCCGCGTTGCGCGCCGCGCGACGTTGGAGTGAACGCAGATTTTTGGATTTTCCAAGGGGATCCCCCTCAATTTCAGCATGCGCGTTTGTCTTAGAGTGTTTTTTACCAAGACGAAGATGCAGTTAGAATAATGAGAGCAGAATCGGGACAAACGTGAAGTAACAACTTCGTAACTCCATAGAGAGCAGCGTGAAATTTTTTCGTGTAAATACCTTATAGTTTATCGACGTTAATCATGCTCGCGTTGTGAATAATGTTAATCAAGGAAATTCAATTTAATTTAATTTATTTAATTAAATTTATCAAGTTGTATAAAAAAAACATAAGAATGTTAATGCTGTAGTAGTCTTTTAAAAGCGTCTTCTTTCAAAACAGTCTGATTATTTAATGACGTAATTGCAATCTTATTTAGTGGACTTTTTATTGAGATCCTATTAGAAAATTTTATTGAGAAATGCTTTCGAGCGAATATAAGAAATGTGTTCGTCTATATTTGTGTCTGAAGATGTAACTAGTTTGAAGGGGAAATACCGTGTTGGGAAAATAAATGTTCAATATGATCGATAATGACATAGTGCATAATTTCAAGAGTACCTTCACACAAAAATAAATCTTTATGGCAATCTTTTATATCGCAGATGGTACAAATACATTAATTACAACGAAATAGCTGGTATTAACAGCATGACGCTATGAAAGTCGACTTGAAAATTGATAGCAGCGTTAATTAACCACTTTTCATTGCGCCCAAGGCGCTTTAAAGTCTAAAGAACGGGGAAACGACGAGAATAAGTACGAAGGTGGAACGGCGCTCCGGTCTGTTAAAGAGCTACTAAAATCTGTTAATAAACGGCTACTGAGAAACCACATCAACCGGTAATATACTTCCTCCAAATGGCGTTATTACGCATAATAAATATATTCAGGCATGTTCATCGGCTCGTCGTTGTTAATTGGTGGATAATATTTTTTCCTTATCCGTTTTTCTGTGGTGCTACATTATTTCCACTGGATAAAGACAGAGACAAGCGCAAGTATGTCCACAAAATGCGACACAGTCACTGGTAACAACGCCACGTCATTGCTTTAATTAGGGAATGATTCCCCGAGAGATAGAGCCATTACTGTGATTAAACAATTTTGTCGTATTAACATGGAACAATGCTTCTCCAGGATTACCCACTCGAGCACACATATCCTTTGATAATCGTCACGTTCATCGCGTCTCGTTCCATGTCTCTCAAGACATGACAACAAGATCTCCGTTGTCAATTTTAAAACTAATTATAGAGACTCTTCACCCCAACACCGTAATTTTGCATGCTTAATGTGGAAATTATCGACGAAAATTCGACTAATTTGACTAATGCTATTTGCGATTTACATTATGCAACTTGCATATCTCCAAATATACAGTGTTCTTGGCAAGTTTAATTTAACGCATAGACACAGTTTTATAGTAAAAATTACTGCAGAATAAAAATTATAGGAAATTACGATCAACTTATATATACAGATAATATTTCCTGTTTGCTTTTTTGCGTTATAATCAACTTATGTATGCAGATAATATTTTCTGTTTGCTTTTTTGCGTTGTGATTCTATATACGTTGCATTGGCCAATTCTGTTATTGCATGTCAGCATTGATTGTGTATATAAATTTTTGCGTTGCCTATCATCGATCATAAAAATATCATTTTGCTCAAAAAATTAAAAAAGAAATATAGAAACATCAAAACGAGTTTCTGAGTATCTTGACTCATGAATGCATGACGTAATAAGATGCATCTAACATCACTTTATATTTTCGGGATTTAGCTAAGAAGTTGCTAAGTAGCTACGAAGCATTGAATTTTGTGAGCTGTACAATAAACAGTTTAAATGATAATAATAATAAGTAACTAGTGGATTTATCATTTATAATGTCATTGCAATCAAGGTAATCAGCATCTCTAAGTAACAGTTCTATTTGTATTGCAATAACGTCGCCATTCTTATCTCATCTTTTTTCATTTCGTCACACGCGTGTTATGACATGTCAATTAAGTTTTTTTTCCTACAATGTTTCCTATTTACGTCACTGATAACGCAATGCGCGTGCATAGGCGGAAGTAATTGGAATTACTGAGAAAATATAAAGAGAAAGAAAGAGAGAGAGAGGGGAGGGAGCGGGGGGAGCGGAAGCTTGCAGATTCGATTTTCTGGTCTGCAATAATGGCCTGTAATTACTTGCGGCTCGTTACTAGGAACATTTAGTGTACCGTATAACCGATTTATTCGAATTGTGCATAACTAAAACCACAATATGTCTTACCTTCCTGTTGTATAAAAAAAAACTAAAAGAATATGAAGTCCGTTTAACCTTGACTGATCGACTCAGGTCGCGAATGCAGATATAATAACCACGCTGATGATGGGAGGCATTGGGAGGTAACAAACATTTACTTGAAAATAAGTTATCTTCAAGGAGGGATCTATTAATTTAAATTGAATTAATTCTAAATTTCGCAACAATCTGGTAACATAGTATTAGCCACTATTAGAGTAAAATTTTATTTGAAATAGTTAGCAAATCAATAATTAAAATTAATTAATTGTCATATATATATATATACTCAAAAATAATTTAATCCATCGATGATAGCAATTATTCTTTGAATTGAGTGATTATACGCTGATTAATAATTGATTTCATCGATCAATTAAATTATTCGTAATCATATATGATTGATTAATTTGGATTATTGATTTGTCGATTATTTTAGCCAAGTAAACTTTTAATCGACCATTTAAATTTGTTAATTTGTTCATATGATACTAGCTTTGAATCCATTATTGTAGTTATTATTGATAAATATCCCCAAGTACATAATAGCTGCATAATTAGGATACATAATGGGTGCAAATCTTGGAAGCAGATTCATCCTCCGAGAAAAAGAGAGAATTGGTGAATAATATCATGCGTGTGCGCTCGTTCGTAGATTGTTCTCACGATTCGAACCGGTATCGTCGATGGTCGGTATACCGACTTAATGAGCATACAAAAAAACCATAAAATCAGATAATTACTAATGAACGACACGCTCATGATTGTTCCTGCTGCCGCGTAGATTTTTGCAAAATATTTCATCTGCGTTGATGCAACGTGAGCTCCCGTGCAACTTTAAGCGTCTTGTATAGTTTCCAAACAGCACAAATGTCTAAAATACGTCTTGGAGATATCCCAGACAGTACAATCTACCAGAAGACATCTTAAAGACATCCAAAAATGTTCAAAAAACGTATTTTTTAAACATTTTTTGGATGTTTTAAAATATCGTTTAGTAAATAGGATATTGTTCAAACATTTCTAAGATGTCTTTTAGATATTTATAGGTGTATGGATTTTAACATAATTTTACGGATTGATGGAATTGAATTTAGAGGTAAATTTTCCGTTAATTTTGTCCGTTAATTCCAAAGTTCCACTTATCATCTGCAATAATATTGGTTGTCAAAAGTTCTTTCTAATGTTTGAAACCGCGCGATTCGAATACGTGTATACTTTAGAAGATTAGAGAGATGTTCGTTCTTCTTTTTTCACACAGTCGAGATATTAGCGTTCGCGAAGTAACTGTCTCCGAATGCGGAAATGGCCGGCCGGCCAGCGACGACTACACGAGTATGCGCGAGTGTACATGTGCAATTATCTCCTGCGGCTTAGAAAATTAACTGTACGTTAAGACACTGCGGGGATTTTCTCAGCTATCAGCAACTTAGTCACTGCATGTGCTTCTTTATCGAGGCACCCTGGGCGAATTAATTGATAGAACATGGCGCTGATTAGTGGTCGTTATGTGTTCCCCCGATCTTATTACGCGTCTGTCATTATGTCACAGTGTTATTAACCGGAGCTGTGTTATCGAGCAAAAATCTATCGATACGATTGACGGCCCCAACCTTGCGTCCTCCCATGGCAACACGCTGGTGCGGCGTTCGTTCGTCGTTAATCGCGGCGTAAGAATTGCCGAACCCCGCGGACAATTTCCGACCGGTTCCACGATAATTGCTTTTGCCGTAGTTTTTTGTGAATCAAACCGAGACGATCGGTGGATGAGTCAGTGGCGAGACCTTGGATCACATTGGCGAGCATCGTATTTCAGGCTTTGAGCACCATAGATTCAGCTAGACTTTCACCAATAACTCCGATCTAGCCGTTCCATACGTCTTAGCGGGCGATTTCATAAATTCTGTAGATGACAAAGAACGTCTAGTGTCTCATAAATAGTTCATAGATAGCAGAACATGAAAAATCACATTGTTTCACGCACATTTTACTTGATGCACTAATGATTTATTTATACTTATATACTTATACTAATATATATTTATAATTATAGCTCGTGCAATTTTCATTCATTAAATAAATATTTCATATACTTTCATATATATCTGCGCGTTCTACAACTATGAAGATATATGTAAGCTCAACGTCCTTCTGAGAAATTAAATTCATGGAAAAGCAGGTAGCTACTCTTCCGAATCCATTGATGATTAATTGCTGTCGTTACTAGTCACTACGTCTTGATGGCTTTCGAATGAAGTAAATAGCCAATTAGGTAAGTTTAATCTATCGAAGGCTACTTAAATTGCAGTATTATGATAATTGATAAATCAATCAAAATATAAGTGACATGTATTCTTTATTCTTAAAAAAAGTTTATATTCAGAGATAATATATATTATAGTATTTTTTTAGAATATATATGTAGTTTTTTATATAAATTCTTTTAAATTTTATTATATTTCTAAAAGTGTAAGAGATAATAAATTGTCAGTAAGATCTATTTTGCTAAGAAAAATAGTATATTTCATTAGAAGTAGAGCAAATTTTTTAACAGCATATTTCGGTTTTCAAAATATAAATAGCACATATGAGATGAGAAAATAAAAAAATTACTGCAGAATGTCGATCTATCAGTTACAAAATTTTGTAACTAACTTCGTTACTAACTTTTATTTTAAAATTTCCTCCGTGTGTATTCACAGATTACTTACAATTATCAATTATTTAAATTTACGGGTATTATCTGGATATTACTTCGGATATTACTCGAATATAACCCAAAATATTCGTATGATCAAAAATCACGGATAATAACTGAGAGATATTCATATGTTGTTTATTATTCATTTTTATAGCAGCTGATTTTGTATCAGTTGATTTTATTTTCTGGTATCCCAGAAAACAGTACATTATTGTACATATAAATGTACATTATTTGACGTTCTTTCTCTCTTGAATACCCAGATAATTTGCAAAACCACCTGATAGAACAAAAAATTATTAAATCACGATCAAAAAGTAAGTTTTACTAAGTGAGTCATTTTCTCGTGATTTCCTGTTTTACCTAAGCATCTATGTACCCGGGATAAACCCGAGAGACTTGAATACTCGGGAAGATAATATTTAAGTGTAAGATATAAACATTGCTAATATCATCTGTTGATATTGTCGTTGAAGATAACTGACAACGTCGATAAAGCAGATTTCGGTTATTTTAGAAACTATATTATCTCACAAAGGATTATCTTACAAACTCTTCAAGAGATGTCGCGAAGAGTACAAGATCGTACTTCGACTTTCGCAATCCTGCGCATTGTCGCATTGACCTTCACCTACTTCGTGCGAAATTAAAGTCAAGTAACGTGATAAGTATTTAAATAAGCATTTATACATGACAATTGTTATGTTAATTGCTATTTACTAGTAAAAGCCGAGTTCGAGAACAAGTCAAGTTTATCTTTCTTAGACGAAACCATTCAGTGTGATGAATAGTAATTCTGATGCAAAAGTACAATTTAACCTCATTGTTTTTTATTAAAACGAAACAAAAGCACGATGTTTTCAAAAGAACTGCCGCTTTTAAGATTTGTATTCATTCCTGTTGTTTTGAAAAGATATTTTGTAATGTTTTTTTACTTCTATATATTATCATAATTAAATATTTGTTGAGTTTTCCATACAAAGCAAAGCCGCTGGACGTTATCTCCTTTTGACCCTTTTGATCCCGCGTTGAGCAAGATTCATACTTCATTGCAACTTATCTTCCCGCGAATCAGTTTCTTGGAAACACGATGAAACACGTAGGACTTTAAAGTAAGAGGGGAAATAATAAATTACATCACAAGCCGGTAATTGCTATCGTAGTTCAATTGGTGCTGTCATCTGTAACCGTTTCTACTACCGGATATATTTCATTATTCTTACGATTGCTGAATTGTGCGGAAAATACGACTGTCAGCTGTCAAGTGCATCATGAATTCAAAATAGCAAATCGTATCTACAAACAAGATATTATAAATTTAATAAGTCGTTTTCCGTTCTATTTATTCCATTTCAGCAATAAATCATTAATAAATTAAAAGAAACACCTATCTACAAAGTAAAACTTTTAGTGTGTATTCTCTTAAAGTAAATCAGTAAAAATATCTCTGACTGAATCAGTAAAAGGAATATTTCACCAGTAATCAGTGAATATTTACGAATTCGTTATACGTAGTGTCAAATCCAACTTTCTGCGTTTATGGCAGATGAAATTAATGTGCAATAATACCGTCTGTATTTGAAAACTGCATCAATAAAAGGAACAGCCGCTACTATGATCTTCTCAGCGAGGTTTTACTGATTCCAATGCTACAATCATAACTAAGCCATCAGTTATCAACATAGCAATTTAACGAAGAATACATTAATTGTACCTTAGAGAGTATATTAAAACAAATAACATCTTTTTCCTTACTTAAATAGCCATCGCCTTCACACAACGTCAAACAATTCTCCGACGGCCTGCGCGAGCTCGGAAATTATGTCGCTATCGGATTGTTTCTTTCTAGAATTCGCTTCACCACCAACGTGTCGCAGTGGAATAGCCTGCGCGCTTCTACCTTCGGGAAACCTCACGAAGGATCCTGCTTCGGACGACGCAATTCCTTGAACGTGTCCATTCCCAGAGGCCTGAGCGTTGACCTGCGCCACGGAACTCCCACCTCGGTACCCCGAGGCCGACGTACCTTTGGCGTGACCTTCGCCGTAGGAATCCCCAGAAACGTAACCGGAAGACGCGCTGCTCTGTGTTCGTCCGTCGGCATTCCGATGAGAGAACGACGCGAAACTCTGAGCATGACTTTGAGCATATTCCGAGGTGTGCGCTTGACTGCTTGACGAGGATGCGAAGTCCAAAGGACTCGTATTGATCTGAGAAGCTGAGTCACTGGCCGAAAATCCGTAAGGCGAAGCGACCACGCCGACTTGAAGGCTTGGCGATCCGTGAGATTGGCCATTCCAAGACTCATGCGGTCGAAGGTCGTGTTCAATCGACAAACTTGGCCGAGGGAGGCCCCTTTGGTCGGATTGCCACTTGTAGATGTGAATCGTCGGCGTTTGTTGATGGCGGGACGTGTCGTGCGTCTCGATACTCAATGTCGGTCGTCTTCCATCGTGTGGCTTCGAGATGGTCAAGGTGGGACGGCCGACTCGTCGGTCTAAAAGATGACAGTTTTAACCTTCGACTACAAAGTTGAAGTTTAGATAAGATATGGAATACTACATAAGCGAGAGTGTTAAATAATGCTTCGCGCGCAAACACATACACACGATACTGTTACGCTCACTCGTATCGCGGAAATAAACATACTCAAATAAAAGATTGTAGGACGTTTAATAATGGAAGCAATAACATGAAACAAGAAAGCATGAATCAAAATATTTTCGTCTTTGATCAATATGTTCGTCCAGTTAGCTGGTTTGCAGAGGACTTGCTGTTTTTTAACGTTTTCAATCGTTGTCAAGGGATGTATCTTCTGTTGTCACAAAGCGCGGATAAAGCCGAGCGATCGACTTGCAGAAATGGAAAAAAGTAACAAAAATATTTGTTATAAATTATAAATATATGTTATAATATCATAGAGAGTGATCTTCCTGTGTGTGTGTGTGTGTGTGTGCGTGTGTGTGTATATAGTGAAGGTACGCAAATACGTAATCGTTAAATCTACTTGCCATTGTAGTCCCTACTTGGACCAACATTATTCCATGTCGGTCGATTTGGATATTGCACACTGGCAGCACCGACTTGCGAAAAGGATGTCCCTTGACTGGCACCACTTACAGCGGAAGATTGCGAAATACCAACGGAAGAAGCAGCGCCGGTAATAGCTTGCCCGTTTTCAACCACCCCGAACGAAGATGCAGCCGCCTGACCGAAGCTGAGCGAGTGGCTTTCGGTTTTAGCATCGTTACCATTGCTATAAGCTTTCGCACCCGAGGTGGAGATTCCCGATAGTCCTGCCGAAACTGACGTTGATTTGCTTACAGAAACGGAGGATCTGTAAATAAATATTTCCCGCACATCGATTGCTAAAAAGTGATATACCTCGTATGTGTAAAATTGAAAATTTTCGGAGGAACCAAAACACTGATTTAGAAATTCACTTTGCTCTGAAGAAGAGAATTTTTTCTGTATTCTTTAGTTTTCTAAAATGTCAGATAAAGTAAAACGTTCTTAAAAAGTTGGGAAATAAATTTTGACTCTGCTAAACCAAAAATCCGAAAATGGCCATTTGTGGAGGTATTAATCCTTAACTATAAAGATATAAATTCCTGTAACAAATACAAATTCAAAATGTTGGATTCAAGTTAAAACATTCGAAGAAATAACATTGGAGTAGACTGAAATTACATATTTTGGTGAGATAACAACTGAAGAAATGGAAGTCGACGCTATCATGTAAATATTAAAATGAGTAAAAATATTTTGTTTTCTACAGAATCCCTAAACTTTAACATTTTCGCTCGCATTCGCTTTGTTCCCCGAATATGAATATTATAAATGAAATATAATATTCATTATAATATTATAATGAATATTATTCTATAGATTATACACGATTTTCTAGCAGTTCATACACACCCATCATTCCTAAACCCGGCAGGGTGATTGTAGCTGTTACTTTCCGAGAGACTAATACCGTCGAGGCTCGCACCCAGGCTGACGGAGTGCGCATTGTTGTGTCCCGCGTTCAAACTGATAGTCGCCGTGACAGGGATGAGGGAAAGGAGACGAGCTTGAGGTTCCCCATTACTCGACATCTTGACGACCGACTCCGGCGTCAGTTCCGGCGGCGTGTTCCATCGTCGCTCGTGTTCGTTTCTGAACTGCGCCCGCTCGTCTGCACAATGAAGAGCGTTTGCTCAAGCGTCTAGAAGCCCAAGAAGCGAAGAGAGGAAGCGCGTTCTCGTGTTTCACCAAATTGTTTCTGTAACTTGCGACAGTTACGAGGAGGGTGACTTTATCGGAGGCGCAGCGTCACTGTAAATCTCTACAGCGACGCCCTCCTTTGTGTGTAGGTCCATGACGGTAGGTAGGAGAACGCTCGTGAACATGTAGATTAGGTCAAACTGAATACAAAATTCTTCTACCGTCTTGCAAACAATCACATAAAATTTTGAGTTATTAATCAACAAAGATAGATGTTATTTATTAAACGCTTTGGAACAGAGTCCTCTCGAATATTAATATCAGTAAAACATGAATGATTAAATAAGACAACTCAAGTTGTCATATATAAAACAGATAACAGTAAAGTAAAAGAAAAATCGATCTTCATATTCGTTTTCATATTCGTCAATTTTACACTGCACGGAAAAAGAAACAGTATAATTGTTTAGAGAAAGAAATAAGAACTCGCAAACGAAGATATCAGTCAAAAAATAGGAAAAAAGGCAATTCGAGTTCAAGCACAGGACTAATAGTGCTATATAGTGCATATGGGTAAAAAACCTTCCTCGTGTTAGGAAATCGTGTAATATTTATTGAATATGAATAATCAATATAAAACAATCATACGTTTCGGCTTAACCATGAACCCTCTTTAGTGATAATAAAAACTCACGTCTGGACGTGGCGATGTTATCGTTGACAGGATCGGTTTACTTTTAGCTGAACTCAACAAAGTTATGACGGCTACTTCTCAATATTAATTAACTACTTAATATTATTTCGGTAACGGTCTTGTCAGCTTTAATATTGCGATTAACATTCATGTCAATTTACATTCATGTCAGGTCTTTAACTAATTGTAATGCGTTCGTGTCGTAAACCTTGAGTTTTTATTATCACTGAAGAGGGTTCATGGTTGAGCCGAAACGTATGATTGTTTTATATTGATTATTCATGTTCAATAAATATTACACGATTTCCTAACACAAGGAAGGTTTTTTACCCATATTGTACTATTAGCACTATTAGTCCTGTGCTTGACCTCGAATTGCCCTTTTTCTTATTTTTTGACAGTATAATTGGCTTATACACAAATCTAGTTGTATCAATCAAATGTAACATTTACTGGGAATGCCCAGGTTTCATGTAACTATGTTTTTCATAAAGTTCTAGAAAGTAACTATGCAAAATTTAGTTCAAGTCCATTAAAGGGTCCAGGAGTGTATAGAAAACAGACAGACAGATATTCTATTTTATATGTATAGGCATTAGCGGGATATGGCGAGATTCGAGACGACAGAAGGTGGTTAATGCTGCACGTACATTTAAGATTAAGAAAAAGTCTCGGCGCGATATGTCGTGAAGTAAAAGAGACATTATGATCCTCCAGTAAGGAATTATTATTTTTGCTACTAATATTCTTGCACGACACTTATTGAAATAATTGAAATAAATTCTTGGTGATTCAATTTATTAAATAAGATAAGAATGTCAACATATTTGAGTCAGATAAGTCGCGAAGGTTTCTCAGGGCGTCGTACACTTGAACAAGCCCCGACGATTGTAAACCATCTTCAACCATCTTCAATTATGTTTACCCGTGCTTTTGCGTCGTGTAAATTCGTAATCGGACACTGCTGACTGTTCACTTCTCTGCTGACTATTTGCAATCCTGCGCATTATAGTTCCACTGGTTTTATGTTATTACCGCGCTCATAGCTACTGTGTTTTTCCCAGAGCGTAATGGAGATAAGCGAGGAATGTAGCTAGCACGGTAAAAGCTGTGATTACTATGCATTAGTATATAAATTCCGCGTTACTTTAATAAAGAAACGAAATAATGTAATGCTTCACATCGTACATGCTTCACATGTCTAACTTCACGATTAATAATTACAATTATGTAAATGTGAAAAGGAGAGAGAATATTTTTAATATGCGTGTATGTAAAATGTATAAAAATATATATTGTGTAAAAATATATAAAAATACATTTTACAATTGTTGTACTTTTTTCGTATTTATATATTTGCAATTGTTACTCGTAAAATTTTGTAACTTGAATTCTGTCCAAACTGCCTGAAACTATAATATCGACGACTGTTTCTCGTTTTCAAGAGACTTGAAACTTGGTACTAACACCTTCCACATTTATGCGGAGAGTGTAAAAATTCTGGCGATATCGTAACGAGCACCACGATCGCATACAACAGGTTTAAGAGAAACACCTCTAGCCGACGAAACTCGCGACATAATGCTCGCCGCATAAATTCTTCTTCTCGAGGTCGTCGATATCGCGACACGCACGCGACACTTGCGTGTATTTTCAGCTTCCCAAAATATTTCTCTCACCTGCCCGCGTGAACGACAGCACAGTTGCTAATAGGAGGATGCCGCCGACGCTCCTCGCCATGTCCGAAGACGTTCTGACTCGGCTGTGCCATCGGCGTGCCCTTTTTCAATAACTATGCACGACCTTAGTAACGTTATTAAGATGCAGGACGCGTTGGCCCACGTAATTCTCCTTAGGAGAATCGTCGTGCGATGACGCAAACCACGAGAGAGAAATGCGAGTCTCAATAACCACTCAATAACCAACAACGGGAGGCTTCTATCGCATTTTTGCCGAGAAACAATTAATTAAGAATTTGTCCAAGAAATCATAGCCGCAAAGATGTAAGCGACCTGGGAGATTTATCCTGCAAAATTGTTAATTGCATTTTATGATGATGTCGGACTAGTTTTGAGCAAAAAACTGTCGTGTTTGTCAGTTTACTAAAATTCACACAATCAAAGAGAAATTTATTTTATTATTAATAATATTATTGTATCATATAGAATACAAGTGCATTTTGCAAGCATTTGCCAGTAAGAGATATAAATTATCTCATAAGCTATACACTTCTCGACAACTTCACTTGAATACTTTTGTAAAATGACGAGAAAATCGATCGGTGATATTAATATTTGCACACTGATGTGTCAAAAAATCTGCAAAGTGCAGTAGAACGTCTTTACCTAAGTTTTCTCTATTTTTTACAGCAATCGATTTCATTCGACATACAAAAGTATTAAGGTTATCATCATAAGGTTAAAATCACTCAAAAGTGAACGTTTTACAAAATATTTCATATCTTAAACTGAAGAAAAATATCGGAATAAGATGCAAGATATCTCGGAAAATATTCAATTTCCCATGATTTTATCCAATATTTTCATACATGGTATGATCAGAGGAATCGATTTGTGTTAAAAAAAACGGTACGATTCCATTTAATAAATTAAAATTAATCTTAACAAGTTTTTCCAAGCTCAAGTATGAATTATTATCATTTTTTCTCTTTAAAACTATACAACTTTGACTTGACACATTCTTTCCATAATGTTTTTGCTTCTGTACACATGACAATATTTCCATATAATATCAATACTCTATTGTTCAATTATGCTGTAATATTACTTCACTCTTAATAGTATTACTTCACTGATTATAGTATTTACTTAACGTATACAACTGTATATTAACTAAATTAATTCACATACACTTTACCGCTTACCGGAACTTTAACTTGTCAGAGATTCCATGTAAATATATTTGATACGTTGGACATTATTCATACTTTTACTACGAAAAGAAGAATCGCGACAAAGGTTTTCCCGCTTGTAACATTCCTCGTGAATATATCGCTATTCCAATTTATCAATACGGCCGTATTAATCAGGAAAACTAATTACACCAGTGTGCTCAATTGATCACTTATCTGTCGGCGATCTGCTCATTTGCGGCTTCTCAGCGATGCATGTGCGTTCTATGCTTTCATACTGTTACCTGTACGTGTGACTCACGCCGCTCATTCATTAAATATGAATGCGTTTTATTTACAATAATATTTCCGCTATACCGTGAGCTCCATAATCTCAACCGCAAAGTCTCTTACCTCGTAATTTTTGTTGCGTTTGTTACGTCAGTTACGCATTAGCGCGTACGCTGTCTCGCGCTGTGCACGAAAGTGTAATCGCTATCATCGTCAAGATCAGCGATCCATGAAAGTTACAAGAACAATGCCAAGTCGTCCAGTCATAAAGGTTCATTATCATATAATGAGTCGTAAAATTGAAATTTAGAGAACTACACGATATATCTGCCGAATTAAAGCTCTAAACGCGGTTGAACTTCTCTTACCTTGATAATGAATTTAAAGTGCTAAAGTAAAGGGAATATTTCATGATAATTTATTATAGAATATATGTGAATTTATAAATATATATGCAATTCTGAACTCAGAACCTGCGAATATACAAGCATCAGGCCACGGTGGTCACGAAGATCTCGAAACGCGCCGCGCGCGCTTCATTTTGGAGAACAATGCGCCAGTCGGGAGGAACGAAGTGATTGCCGGATTATTGCGTAGGAGGTAATCAAGTTTCACGATGGGTATTTCCCAGAGACAGCCGCGTCAGTTGAGCACTTGAGGAAGAAAAAAATTCAACTGGCAAGGCTGCGAGCGAGCACAGCGCTGGAAAATATTTTCGACCGTTTGGCTTAATCGAAAATTTTCGCGTCGAAAGCACCGGAAGGTGTGCATATGATCGAGTAACAAGTGCAGCCCGTTTAATGGGCGTAACGATATCTCCTCGAGGAGATGACGGGGCCGGAGATTCGATGTTGAATCGTCTGAAAGGAAAATTTTACTGAGTCACCGTAAAAATTGCCTCGCAACGAAAACGTTTATTTTATTTTACATCTGCGCAAAGAAAAAAATTATGCACACACTGTATGTAATCAGTCATCATCACATATAATTGTTATAAGTAATATAAGTAGTACAAGTAGATAAAATGTAAATGTGAGTGATAAATGTAAGTACACCGAGAGAAAAGAATATTCTTGTTTGAAATAATTGTTTTTATTTAAAATAAAAACCTAAATAAAATATTTAAAGTAAAAATAATTTAAAATAAAATACTTTTACTTTTGACATGTTAATCTTCAAATGAGGTTACACAACGTCAAACAAAGTTAAGTTGCTTGCACATCGATAAATTTTATATTTGATTCAATAAATAATTATTGAAATTCAAGACGATAAAATTTTTCTAACAAAATCCTATATCGTTGCTTATATATGAGAAACAATGATTGTTAATTTGAGTATATTAATTTTAGTGAACCTATCATAACGTTTAAAGGCATTATTTCCTATCAATCTGGTATTTTCAGCTTTCTATTAATGAAAATTATTTTTGAATAAGAACACAGATTTTTCTTTGAATAAGATTATTTTTGAATAAGAACACAGATTTTTCTTTGTGTTAAATCATATAAAATATATTCTTGCAAGTAACTTATCTTTGCTTAACGCTATGCATTCTTATTGGAAGAAATTAACATATAATTATAAAAGCACAAGAATGTGCTTTTCTTTTTCTTGTGCAATATAAGTTATACAGAAATATTATCATGTATAATAAAATAATATTATTAACAATAAAACCAATTTCTCTTTGATTGTGTCATTTTCAGTAAACTGCCAAACGCGACCGTCAAAGCCGTCGTCCCCCTAAAACAGTGTGAATGCGTCGTATCGTCACAGAAATCCGTCTGCACGATTGCACGTGTACTGTCATTGCAACTGTGCAAACAAAAATACAAATTTCTGAGAAAGGCAAATAACATCGACTCGTCATCGTGTCGAAGGCGTTAAGCGACGTTAACGTCGCTCTCCCCCCTCCCTTCCTTCTCTACATTTCCGTCGTGCCGGTGAAAGACGAAGGCGACGGAATATTTTTATCGGTTATTGAGAAAACACGCGTACCTGAGTCACATCGCGCCATGACTAACAAGTAATAACACCGTGGACAAAAGACGGTTCATCGCGTTCACAGACATTTTATTCGCGCTGACCATAATTCGTTCGAATGACACGGTCGCGCGTGCAAGTTCCGCGAATGCAACCGGGAGAGTACTAATTTGATAGCTGCTACCCGATAATCAATCGTTTGTAGTATTATCCTGATCGGACTGATTGGAAAATACGCGCTCGAGCTGCGAGCTTCTCGTGACTCTGTAGGGACCACGAAGCGCAGGAGTAATCGCGATTATCCCCGATCGATTATAAGTCTAGCAGGATGTGAAAACCGGTCGCGACTGTACTGCACAACGGGCCATTATTATTTATAAACAGTTACGCGCGGATTGTCACTATTGCTGATAATATTGAATGAAATATCGGCCGTCGAATGTGACAGCTGATAATATCAGTTAAATACACACGGCCGAATACAAATACGGCCGTCGAATATTGGACTTTGACGTAGCAGGAAGAAAGCGAAAATTTCTTGTCAATCAAATTTAATGGGGTGTAATAAATTGAGGAGGAAATTGAAATGTAAGAAATTAAGGGGAGAATACAAATGCTTCTGTATTTTTCAAATATATCGGTGATACTTTAAGCTGTAACACACAGTATAATGGATCTTTGGAAATTGCTGCTTTTATACGATGCAAATCCAAATGTGTAATTTTTACAAATTTCTTTAAAATTGTGTAACTATTTTTTACGTGCTTAAAGACGTGTTATTTTCTCTACACGTTTTATATGTGTTATTAGTTAAATATATTAGATTATGCACATAAAATGTATAATTATTATACGTCAAGAATAGATCAATTATTGTGGTATAATACTGGAAACAATAACTCCTTATTAAATTATTGATATAAAAATATTGGATAGCATATAAATTCTTAGCAATTTTTATTTGATTATAATTTATTGTTTTATTTACGTTTTTACACATTTCTGTACTTTTTAATTTACATTTCAATTATTTCCAAATACACGTTTTCTCATTTTTTAAAACTTAATATTGTGTATCATATTATATACGATGAAAACATGTTAAATTGTATGTTTAAATGTGTAAATTTATCTTGTTGTGCAATATAGTATGTAATTTTTACACAGAAAACCAAATTGCACACATAAATGTGTAATTTTACATAAATGTGTAATTTAAATGTAAGTGTGTAATTGTTACACACTTGGATTTGCAGAGTATAAGGGGTAGGCTTAAACTATAATAACTATTCTGATGACGTAACATCGATAATGTAAAACTAAAGATCTTCGAATTACAAATTACACACATAATAGGAATTATACATTATTTGTTGTCTATTAATTATTGCTAGAAAAGGAAATTTCATTAATCAAAGAGACCCGATTAAAAAATTAAATAACACACATAGGGAAAAATTAATTCTGCGATAAGAAAACGCGTATCTTGCAGTATCCAGAGCAACAACGAGGAAACTTTATCCGCGCTGTTGGAAAATTATCCGTTCTCTTTACTGTTCCAATTCCACAAATTAATAAAAACGCTGACTAGATTCTCGCAAACGTAAGCATTCGTTAAGTGTTCGCGTAAATGAGACAGATTGTGTAATTGTCAGTCTGGGCTTTTCGTTCTGTATGAAAGAATCCTTCACGTTCTCGGTGTATCACTTCAGCGTTGTATATATCTCGGTATTACGCGTATCAAGGTTCAGAAGAGAAAAGTTTTCACGATCACGATCATTTCCTATTTACGTCGTTGTGTTATCGCAGGGTTATCTTTTCTTAGCACAAATTACCGAGCTGGAATCGCGTGATTTCTCCAAATAAAAGCAGCGAAATAAGAATAAGAGCTGCGACGTACAGACGAGCAAGATCACGGCCAAGGTCTGAGTAATTCTATTTAATTAAGAAAAACAAAGTTGATAGTAAACAGAGAAGATTGAAGCGTCCTCGGACTCGGGAACGTGAGCGAATGTTAAACAAATCATTCGGCATATCATTCGATAACGGATTAAATTTTTGCGAATGGAATTATAAAACAAGAGGAAAATCTCTTTCCTGTTATTTTTCAGAATTATAATCAAGCTTCGATGACGCATTTAGATAGGATTATTATTAATCAACATTATTATTAAATCAACAAAGAATAAACATGTAAGCCCTTCTGTAACTTTTAGTGAGTCTTTAGTGTCACATTTACTCGATTTAAGACTGTATTAATAGTTATTATTTGAAACTCTCCTCACAAATAAGATACTCAGATTTGAGTTCAGAGTTAGATGAGAGAAAGTTTTTCAGTTGCGTCGCGATTATAATTATAATGTCACATATACCATGTAACTCAATTGGAAACTTTGGATCTGACTTTGAAGAAAAACTTGAGCATCTCACGAGGCAAGTTTAGAATGACAACTAATACAAGTCTCAATTCAGTCTTGAGAGTAACAATGACATCAGGAAATTGCTGCATGTGTGGATTTTCGCTTAAACGACGACGATTACAGACGCTGAATTTCCAGCGACGTATGAAAATTTTTGGAGGCACATCCTGGACGATTACGCGCGCGATGATTATCGGCGGATGACGTATAAGAATTTCTTTCGGAGTTCTCACGAACGGAGTATCGCGGAGAAGACAACCAGGAGGTAACGAAGAGCCGATACGAGCGAATGCTATATAAGATGATCGCGGCACCAGCTTAGTCAGTCATTCCCTCGCGAACTGCGACGACATCAGGATCATACGATTGTTACACGCGCGCACGCACACAAAGACACACAGTGGTGAAAACTGACAAGTAATAACATACGCATAAGTATACGTATTATTGCCCTCCGACTTTTAATCGCGTTGAGTTTCTCCTTCAATTGATCTTGACGAATCAATCAGAAAGATGGATATTAGGATCTTCGTGCTGCTTGTTTTCGTCGGTGTCCTAGGATCTCTTGCGCAGACCCAAGCAGGCTTCATTAGGTACCCTAGAAGTGAGTAGTGTCGAAGAAATCCATCTTTTTCATTCACCCTCGATGTTGTTTACTAATATGATAATGTAATCTCTTATAACTCAAATGTTTCGGCATTGATCATTTGTTGCAATTAAAATATTGGATCAATCGGTATTAGCTGACAACCAAACATGAAGACATCTTTCATGTGCAGATTATTTTTTTCTCTTCTCATAAGTGTCAATTTTATAATCCAACGTGTTTATGAACTAACACTTAAATAAGAGAATAACATAGAAATAAGAATTCATGCGACGTAATGGATTCATTGTTGCGGTTGAAACTAAATTCGACTCATGACGACTCATTTGTCTTCACTTTTGATCGTTCTTGCCGGGTAATTTTTTATTGTTTCGTGACCGAATAAGCGTCACGAGGTGCAAATGACACCGAGCTGACCACGCGAAGTTGATCGTGTATCATGAACGAAGAAAAGAACTTAATTCAACGATAAGTTACATAACGACAACGTCGTGCATTTAAATAGAAACCGCTGATGTTGCGCGGGGATTTCAGGATAATTGCGAGATTCGTGAGCGCGGCAAAATTCTACAGCGAATTCGATAATACGCCGCGTATATAAACGATTGCGTGATTTCTACTCGACGCTGTGGAAGAGGTCTGCCGTCTGATTTTCGATATTATACCTTCTTTCTGCATGCGAAGTTCCTGCATCGAGGAATTATATTCCGAGAACTGTTCTACTGAAAAATCTCTATTAAGATCTCGGAAATGAAATTTCCGAAAAATTTTCTATGGAAAATAGAAAATTTTTTTTTAATTTTAGATTATATTATAAATATTAACTAAATAGTAACTTGATATAAAATATCTCAATTGAGATATCATTATTTTATTTTTTTATATGATATATTAATTGATGTTATATTAAATAATTAAGATCTCATATTAACAATTTTTCGGAAATTTTATTTGAGATATCAATAGAAATTTTTCGATAGGATGACAATAACAAAAATGTCAGGCATATTCTTATTTCCCATCACTCTTCTCTAAAACAATGCGTCGAGAAACTCAGAAAATCGATGCATTATTGTTGTCAATGTTGCGCGTCATTAAATCCTTGATTGCTGAAAGCGTAAACAATATTAATCATGTTAATTATAATAAAATTAATGTATCGCGTATGTAATCAATACGCTTTCTGTGATGCAGCTTCATGCCTACCCGCGCGCACACACACACGCACGTAACTCCACACACACAGCCGTTGACCAAATAGAGATCATTTAATGTAGCGCTCGTGTAAACCGTGACCTCGTTTCATTCCTCACCTTGACCTATGGGAAGATACTTTCTTCTCATCTCATCTCTTCTTTCTCTCGCGGTCTTCCACGCGAATGTCTATTGTGTTAACGGATACGCGCGTGTGTGTATAATATATTCTATAAGTACGTGTACTGATTAACTTACTAGGATGCATCTATTTTGATCTGGATGTACAGTAACAGCACGTTGGCGAATCATTTTCTATCGATGTAAAGTTGAAATATTCACTCATGTGATATGTTTGCTAATGAATATTCAAGATGGTGTTTCAGTAATAATGTAATTAGATCAGGAAGAGATAAGACAAGAATGTTCTAGTATACGTATTTAAATACCGCAAAAATGCGGTATAATGCATAATACCTGGAAATCAAATTATCTACCTGCGTGCTTCCGAACGCAAATATATGTTATCGAAGGAGAGATATTGCAAATACGTGGTTTATCGAATTAACGTGACCACAGAATGTCAATAGCACATATATCGCATGATTAAATTTACACTGAAAGAAAGGTTTGATAATAATCATCAAGCCTAGATAATAGATATTTTGATAAGAATAAAACTATTTAGTACTTATTAACAAATTATTTGATATTATTTACTAAATCTCACTTAATTGGTTCAACTAAATGACGAATTTAATCTTACTAAATATTTTGTAATTATTACTAAAGGGGGTTGTGTGATAACTATTACCATATATCAATTATTGCACTAAAATATTCATCCAAATGCATTTGCGCGCCAACTATTATTAGACTTTTTTTCAGTGTATTAAATATTAGTTTGATTAGTATTGTTCGAGGTTGCGTGACACATACGGTTTCTTCATTGAAGCGTTTACTGCAAGTTGTGTAATTAAAAAAACTATATCATAAGATAATTATATATACATAATTTTGGTGTTTAAGTGTTGCTAAATTGTACAATATCCGAACATCGTCTCCATGAAACATTATTATTAGTGTTACATTGTGATCAGTCATATTTTCGGCATGTATCACATGTATATACATATATGTGTTCCTGGTGATGGAATCTTGAGAAGTACCCGCAAGAGACTAACGACATCGTTTCGACTAGTAGCAGAGCATCATCAACCATTCCAGTCACCCCGATGCGACAATCGATAAAAAGTCGTTCTTCTGTTCTCGTTTCTTATCGAAGATGGAGAAGTACGCAGGGATGTACTGCCGTTCATGCAATACGCCGCGTCCAGGTCAAAGCGGGAGGTCGGTGATTCGAACGGTGAGACCGCAAATTCGAGCGAGACTACCACCCAATCCACTACCACCCCAACGACTACGACGACAAGCACAACAGAACCTACGACAACAGACCCTACGACAACAGATCCCACGACAACGGATCCTACGACAACAGATCCTACCTCGCCTTCAACCACCCCGAGCACTGAACCGACCACTACACCTACCACAGAAGCCACTACGCCCACAACTCCCACCACCAGCCCCACGACACCCTCCACCAGCCCCACAACACCCACCACCACCCCCACGACAGCCGGCACCACCCCCGGAAGCACCACTCCGGAGAGCACCAAGAAACCGACAGACGATATTCTGTCACGTTCGAATTTCGATGAACCCGAATCCGAAGACTCTCCCAAGAAACCTGGACCATCGTCTACGGGCGATGCAGCGCCAACTCCTGGACCATACTTCGGCCCAGGTGCCTTCGGCCCGTACTTTGGCCCTGGTTTCGGTTCAGGTTTTGATCCCTACTTTGGTTATCCCGGACCCAACTTTATCCCAGGTTCCGGCCAGAACTATGGGTGGCCCAGTGCCAGCAGCGGATCAGGATTTGCAGGCGCGTCTGCCGGCGCGTCCGCTGGAAGTTTCGCGGGAGGATATTCAGGAATGGGATATCCCACGCCAGGATTTCCCACAATGGGATCAACAAATATCGGTAGTCGAGGAGGATTTCAGGATAACTCACCAGATCAGACCGGATATAATCCTAGGGGAATAGGTACGGAAGTCCGATAGGCCGAGGACGAAAAGAAGAGATTTCCGGGGATAACGAATGAATCCTCGGAGTTGCATGCTGTGGTTTGGTGTTCGTGAAAAGAAAGATTGGCAAAAGAACGGAACGAATCGGACATCAGAGACGAAGGAAATGTCGAAATTCCACATTTCCAAATTTACACGATGGAGTCTCTGCTGATGATGTTCATCTAAAGATGCATGATATTTTTCCGAGATAATCCGCCTCTTAGGAAACGATTAATTTTTGCGACAGTAGTTCTCTACTACTGCGCAATGCTCGTTTATTTTTTATTTATTTATGCGTGCGTTATATGATGTTTCTTTATTAATACACTTATTTATTTATTGATTTATTTAGATATACTTACACATATAAAGATGTATCTTATGAGTCTAAAAATCATATTAATAGTTATCTAAAACTTTTGTCTCATGTGACATACTTAGGTTTTTACTCAGAGAATCCAAGTTTGCTAATTAAATTATAATATATGTGACATTTATATTTGTAATTGTGGTTCAAGAACTCTTATTTAACTCTAAATTCAAATGTAAAAGTTTTACTGGAAACAAGTTTCAAGTAACGATTTTTAATACGAATTATTAATCATATTAATAGTTGTTACTTGAAACACGTCTCAAGTGAGATCCAAATTCAGAGTTAATTGTAAATTTTTAAGTTAAATCACGATTATAGATATAAATATTACATACATCATAATTTAACTGAAAAACTAACTAAACTTCAATCTAATTCTGAATAAAAATCTGAGTATTTCACATGAGACAAGTTTTAAATAACGACTATTAATATGAATCTCAATGATTTATGACTCCCAATGTAATTGCATGTGAATGTTGCATGACTTTAACATAGTATATCTTTATCTGCACTTTATCATGCGTCTCATTTTTCGCAGATCCGTTGTATAACGCAGGATTCTACTTCCCAGGACAATATCCTGCCTACAACGACCCTTTCGATATGTTTAAGCAGATACAAGGGCAGATAGAGGCGCAACATCAAGCGTAAGTCTTTCGGTATCTTCGATATGACAATTAGGATGCTCCTAATCTTCACTCCTCTGAGCAAGGAGATCATTCGTAGCGAATTCTTCATTAATACATGTTTGTGAGGCCATTATTCGTACATATCGTTACATAAACGTGCTCTAACATTCAACATCACGCAATCTCTAACAACCACATTTCGTGATTACACTTTAAGCAAATAGCACAAAATGTTCTGAGATCATCCTGAATATGTACAGGATATCTTAAAATACGCTCCTGGACACACTCGGGATAATTTTAAAGCGTCTTGCGTTATCTGGATAACTTTTGTTGGACACTTCTACTATTAAGGGCTGATTTATCAACAGTAATTTAAACTTAAGTTTGAGTTTTAACTTAAATTTAAACTTAAATTTAAGTTTTAACTTAAATCTAAACTTTTAATCTAAGCTTAGATTTAAGTTTTAAAGTGTTCTAATAATGTTTAAACGAGTACTTAAATAATTAAGTTTAATGTGTTTAGATTTTGAACTTAAAAATCTAAATTTTACTTTAACTATTATTGAAACTATTATTAATATTATTTAAATTTAACTATTATTGAAAAATCGGCCCTAAATATGTCGAGGATACTTCCAAATAATAGACTAATTTTGAACTTGAGAAATCTCCTTTCTTTGTGAGATTTCATTCTGTATAGTAAAATAAGAATCACCCGCCATCAACTATTGCAAAGTTCTCTACTCTATGCTATCTCGTTCTTTCGGTGATGGTTCTTCCTGTATGCACACTTGAAGATCCGCCAACTCTATGGCTTCTCACCATTTTCTAATGGCAAATCAAAGGCGTGCGTGGAATACGCCCAACTACCCTTACCCTTACGCTTCGGGGAATGTGAACAATATTGGACGTCATCCGACGTTTGGTGGTTCGTTCAACCCAGGTGTTGGTAATAGGTAATGAGAATTACGATCGAACTTGAATCTCCCAAACGTCACGTAATGTTGTACTTGGGCAACGTGCCGGCCGGCCCGAATAAATCGAGTGAGTCGCGATAAACCTCTGCGCAAAATGACAAACCATTTCTTGCGATGATGTAACATCCCAACCGTGCGAGTTGCTTTGCTTTCGCGTACAGTCACGGCCAGTACGAATTTCTCGTGAGTACCTTATACAAACGTATATATATAAACGAGCATTTGTGTCACGCAGTAATATGGAGTTCCACAATCGCTTGGCCAGCGAAGCCGCTAACTATGGCGGCACACCGCAAGTTGCAAGTGCCAGTATCGGTTTAGGTCCAAATGGTGGCTTCCAAACGGGCCAGATCAGTCCTGTAAGTCTCACATTTCTCATTGAAAATGAAAGTTTCATTGGGAAATATCTCGTAACGCGGCTAATAGCGCGGCGATTTAAGAATTACTCGAGTAATCCATCCCTTGAACCTGAATTCAATTACTTCATGCAAGTTCGATTACTTCATGCATCGGTAGTATATTCGATTACTTCATGCAAACGTAGTATATTACATATTTTGATGAATGTAATGCTTACATATCGATTAATGCAGTAGATTGAGATAGTGTTATATTAATTAATTTATTAATATATAGTATTGATCAATGTAGTAGATTCATATAGTTATATTAATTAATTTATTAATATCGTATTGATTAATATAGTACAGGTCAATAGTTGTGTGGATTAATAGTGTTAAATAATATGTCAATCGGCTCATAGGCTCTACCTGGAATAGAGTCGAGATTTGCCGAAGATCTTCCTGCACCATCTGGCAACAGCTTTGGAGTATTTGCCAGTTCCAGTTCCTCTAGCAGGACCGGTCCGGATGGCAAGCAGATCAACCACAAATCGTCCATCACGGGCGTCAACGACAACGGAAAGATTTCCTACCGCACGGTGCACGATTAATAAATTCGCGCCTTTGTACGTAATAATATTTTTTATAACCGCTGATTTGCTACAATTGGTCGTGTGTTGCTACAATGTCTCACATTGCTGTGAGAGTGACAAATTTTTCTGATTCCGAATTTCTAACGTTGAAGTTTGCGAACTGGTATGTTTGGGCTCAAATGTTTCCTCAAGATTATCATACAAATACTCAAGTTTTTTAGGTCGTAATAGTCTCCCTATAAAATTCTTCGTGCTTTCTTATTCGACTTTCGTAAATTTTCCTGTGACGTTCACTCACGTCGACAATTAGACTCTTAGACTATTCCTTAGCGAGCAAGAATCGCTTGTGATGTAATTTTAGAAGTCTAGAAGTTTCAATAAACCTTCATGCGCTGACCTTACATACCGCTCGACCGACCCCGGACGATCGTTTGTAACGTCTTGCAACTAATTATGCATTTAATTATTGTATCTACTTGCTTAAACTATACACATGTTATATTATATTTACATTGTATACATAAATTAAACTCGTGAGATACTTTTATAATGATTTTATTTACTTTATTATTTGATGCGAAACTAAATAATCGACATAATCCCACATACCTTTCGATGTATGGCAACGTTTACATCGTGAGTATATTACGATTTCATGGAATCACGAATTCGTATCATTGCTGGATTTGGTCTTGCTGAGAGGCGCCTCGATCTTATCGTCCACTATGGCTCTCTCCCGCGACCATGTTTTGTGTCCTCGGAATCCATCGCCACGATCTCCGAAATTCTGATAACCCAAATACATTGACGGTCGTTGAAAGGTACGTCGTTGTTGGTACCACGACTCGCCATATCCCTGGTAATTCGATTGAATCTATTGCGACGAGGAAAAGATAGTCGTAGTTATTGTCTCTAGACACAATAACGTGTTGCGAAAAGCATCTTAATTACTCAATTAATTCTCGCACAATACGATCCCAGATAACGCAACACTTCATCCTGAATGTGCTCAGAATATATATCTTGGAGGACTTCCCAAGACATTCTGAATGCATTCTGAATGCAAATTTTTTAGAGTTAATAGAGTCTTCCTGTAAAAATTGTCGCTTGCTTATTTATACTTGACTTTTGTGAATTTCCATGTGAATTTCCATGTTTACATGTTTACATGTTCAGGGACGATTTGTACTATCTGGGATATTACATCTCGTATATTAAGGTTTGCTATTAATAGTTATTATTTGAAACTCGTCTCAAGTGAGATACTCAGATTTTAATTCAGAGTTAGTAAGAGATTTACAATTAAATTCCAATTGCAGATATAAGTGTCACATTTACCATTTACCATATCAACTGAAAAACTTGAATTCAATTGAAGAATTATTTCGTTTAATATACATAAAATACAAAATTTTCAGTTTTTCAGGAATTGTTTCAGGTGAAATATATGATTCAAATGAAAACACCAATTCTTTCTGAATTGAAATTTAAATGTCTCATATAAGACAAGTTTCATATGACAAATATTAATTATATATATATATATATATAATATAATTTATAACTGGAAAACTTGAGTCTAATTCTCAACAAAATCTGAGAATCTCACGTGAGACAAGTTTGAAGCTATTGATACGGGCCTAAGACAAACAGATTCGTCACCTGTGGAGTATAATCACGATACAAGTGCGAATACAGATTGGATGTGCTCGTTGGATGAAAAGTCGGCTGCTCTCTTGACTCTTTACTGGCACCTCGAAAACCATCGATCACAGGCACATCGTTCACCTGAACGTTCGATTTCGCTCTCGTGACGATGCTGAGACGCACCTCGGTCACGATATTGCCTTTCCCATCGGGTTTTGACGAAACTGATACGTCGCATATACTATGTTTGCAAGAGTTCACGCTTGGCAGACTGTCGTTGCCATTTACAACGATCTGTATGTTATTGATAACCTTTGGCTGGCTAGACGAATCGTCCTGCAAAGCAATTCAATCAGATTCGTTGAATCGTCTCGTTGGATTACCTTGTTTCAGCAATGATCAACATCCCGATATCCGCTGAAGTGCGCTCAATGAAACGCCCGAACAACGGTGATGAATTAGCGCTTGTAAAATTTACGATGCTCATATACGGGATTCTCTATAAATCTATAACGAGTCGGTTTACGAACCCGTCCATCAGATCGTATAATCCGCCGCCGATTGATATGTGTCGTTAACGCCATAATAAATCTTGTCGTTTACGTGCCAATAAAAATGTTTTCCGTGCGGGCGAGTGATGACATTGATTAATTTCCACCTACTTCGAACGAACTTCATCGGCTACAGCGGCGCGCTTGAATTACGCCATCGCAATTGTCTCAATTAATCCCACGTTACAGAATGAAAAATGTATTTTTTGCTAACAGAGCAGCATCGTTGCACACTAATATTTTTATATATTGACTCAATTGACTCAAAAAATTCGACTTGACTTCTGAACCAAATTCAACTTTGTTACATTCAGTAGAGATGAAATATTTTACACAATTATTGCCTTATAAGCCGTGTTACTCACGCGTGCAGTATAAATTCTGCGTTTTCTCGTTCCCCTTGGCTTTACCAGCTCGCTTTCACGACGCCAACCGACCGCCGGCAGTTTGGACACACTCGAGATCGATTCCGATGTATATGCAGATTCGCTCGGATCTGCATCGGAGGCTGTGTTGCTTAATGTGTCTTCATTTTCGTCCGAATCTAACTCGACCTTCGACGAGACCTCGACGCCTGCGACTACATCGTTAAATGTCACAATCGCGAGGCAAGCGACGAGAATTGTCCCCGTTTGTGCCTTCATCGTTCGCTCGCGAATACACACGGGACACTGATTTTTCATAAAACACCTCTATCGCCGTGCAAGACGTCTCAAGGAAGGGATAAACATCCGGATGTATATATAGTAATGACAATCATCGTCGAAGAAAATTGGAATGACCTCCACGAATCCGACTCGTAAAGCGTAACAAAGATAAACACAGAGAAGGGAATATACTTCAGAATATACTCAAAAGACTCGGCATGGTGGTTGTAATTGCTTCCTGAGATCGATATCGCGAGATTCATAAGCAAACTCGCTACTAATATAAACGGGAGAGACGATTGTATGTAAGTAAAATCATAAGTCTACGAAACGGGAGATCTCGCACTGTTAATTAACGTTTACATTTTCGCGCGAGTTTTGCATCGACCTGATATATTCGTGAAACGTCTGAAGTCGTTGTCCGGACTCACTTTCTAGTATATGTGTTTTAAGAAGTAATGCACAATGTCGCGTGTGAGCGGCACTTATTGCTACTTCCTGAAGAGCAAAGTACATTTACTTACGCACAAGGCTTTCATGTAATAATGGTTCATTGTGAATGGCTTAGCAGGAGGACACAATGAATGCTCATGAATGACATTATCTCGCACCTCTTGCGATGTGCGAAGTACTCACTCTAAAATGCACCCTGTTATGGGCCCGTTGCAGCCAAAGCATCGGCGCTAAAGCAATTTCGGACCCTCGACGTTCGACTGAATCTCAGCGCAAACAAAGGGTGCAGAAGCCTCATTGAAATTCATTAAAATCTTTGCCGTCCTTCGTCCCCCTTTCTTCAGCTGTACAAAACTGTATCGATTCTTTCCCTGATCGTTATTTTCTTTTAGAGGGAAGGTCTTTTTATTATTACACGAATAGAAAACTATCTTTGTCGTTGCGTAAAATGAAACGTTCACACACATACCCTCCTTACTCTTTAAATTTCTTGAAATAACCTTTCAATCGAAAAGCAGAGTCACTATCAAGTTGAGTTTTTTTGGTACTCGTGCAGAGTGAATTCTCCGCTCTGAGTGAACATTTTTATTCGAGATTGAAGAGCGAATCTGATTATTCCTTCATAAGAATATATCCGCTCTAAAGAGCTGAAAGATTCGTTCATATAGAGTCTTTTTAAGCTTGAGAGAAACATTCATCCTTGTAATTTTGAGTGACAATATTGTCACCGTCGCTTCGAGTGAAAATACTTTCTCACTCGTATTGAATAAGATTCCCCACCAAGAAACTTGGAAAGAGTATTTGACATAAAAAAAAATTTACGATAAATAAATCACCTGAATGGTTCTAATGGTGTCACCCTTTCCGGTCGTAGTTCGTGCCTCGAAATAATGATTCACCCACAGCAGGCGTTAACCGTTCGTGCCGCTGAACATCGCGAGTGCACTTAAGTCCTTTGTGCCAAAGATGCAATTATGTGGCGGTGCTCGATGCAACGACGGTCAGGCGACCGCAGGATATCGCGTTACGTAAAACGTTCTTCGTAAGATCGGCATTACGAGACCATCCGGGCTAGCAATAGATGGTGGCGCGCAATGACGCAGAATACTCATTAAGATCCAAGTATTCCGCCACAACTATTCGCGACGCCGGAGAATCTTTATCTCTCGAGAAAACAAAACATGCCGGTAATTAATTTGTAACCGCTTCTCTGACGGCTCGCGCGCGCGCGCGCGTTGTTGTTTCTCGAAAAGAGGTATTCTCATCGATAACGATTGTCACGACGCGACTACATCGCACAGTGTTTATTTTCATGGAATACAGCCATTTTATGAAACGTAAGACAGAAAGTTTGTCTTCTTGCAAACCAAAAGTGTAATGCCTGAAATATGATAAAACGCATAAATAACACAAATTTTGTATTAAATACCGATCTCATAGTTCCAGAAATTAAAAAATCCAGAGAATCAAAAGAACTATCGTGTGTATAATCGTATCTACATTAAAAACTCATATCCTTCTCAGTAAATTAGTACGAGTTGAAATCATAATTTAAGAATACCTATATTTATCTTGTTTTATTTTTATTTTATTCATTTTTTATTATTATTTATAATTTTATTTATTTATATTATTTTATTGTTTATTGTAAAGCCGCGTCCGAGCGAGCTCGTGTCCCCCGCGCAATTAAACCTCAACACCGCCTGCCTTATATATCTTTTTCGTTTTTCTTTTCATCTTTCGCACGCGTGTGTGTGTCTCGGAGTTTCCGGCTTCCCAGACGCACCCCCGGCTGATCTCGCGATGCAGACGCATTCACCGTTGATGGAGCGTAGAAAACGGAGTGCCTAATGTAGCGTGCATAATCGGACTCGCATTATTGGGGAATCGCCAGAGGTACGTGAGGAGACGTATCCTGACAGAGTAAATATGCTTCAAATTAATGTTGCCGGCCGAGCGCGAGAAGCAGTTATCCCGCTCCCACGGAACGTGCTTCGCACGGCGTCGTGATGAACAAAATATAAACGTGAATTCCAGATTAAATGGTTGGTTTGGAGCAAATGAAGGAGATCTTAATTTAACTCATCTATAAAAGCGCGTCGGTGCGCCTCGATAAGGCACGGTAATGTATTTTAGAGATACGCGCTCAACAAAAATTGTTATATATTTATAGATATATGTTGCACATTTACAAACGCGCGTGAAGTTTTTGTTGCAACACGAGGCTCGTAGATAGTAAATCATAATAATAAAAGCGACGTGTGTAATTGATTTATTAATGTTGTAATAAAGAAGAAATATTAGATTTACAAGTGAAATAAAATTATTTTTTGATGTTTATGTGAAGGTTAATTTGAAAATACTGCGACTGTAATCACCCATTTGGACGTATATTATTTCTATTACCCGTAAAGTGACACATAGTCTATAAAATGCCAAGAAATGCTCTTTCTGTCAATATAAATGTATATATGAAATGATAGTTTTTTCTTTTCCATTTGGTTTATTGGGTTCAATAAATGTTTATTTTACAACATGCAAATCTGTTTGTAAATTTTGATTTTATTGCTATCTTACAGCTAAGATTTTTCTGTATGTCTCAAGAAAAAATGTGCCAAAAATATTGATTTACAACCATTATGATAGTTTAAAGTTATAATAGTTTAAAGTTGGCAAATCCAGATACTGTATGTCCTAAAAAATATGGTCGTCTGCGGAAGGTTAATTTGCATATTTACACGAAATAAAAATCCTCCCGTCTGTTTATTTATCAAGAGATTTGAGAGAAATGACAATAACATAGATTCTACAGGAACGAAAGTATCCGGAAATAAAGGAGATCTCGAGATAGATAACTTTACAACGTTTGGCAGTCTAAACAAGATGTCACGAGAACGACATTAGCTTCCTCATGCGACACTTGCGTGGCTGTCGCACGAATTACAGGACTCGTTTAGAATGTAACATATGGCTTTGACGTACAGCTTCCGAGAACAGAGAAACTCTTCCCCCGCGACGCGTTCTCACCCTTCCTGTCTTGCCGCGGGGGAAAGTCGGCTGGAAATAAACGGCTGACGATGTTAACTCCGACCTTCGTCTTAAAAGATACGACCTTTACAGCTGTTTTTGTGGAGTCATAGCGGTTCCTGCGGGGGATGCGGGTCCAAGTAACAACATCCCGTCGTATTGTATTGTATAGATAGAAATTTATTGTGCTTGTCGAGTCTGCGATTTGTACATTTTTGTAGTCTCTCAGGCTCGCAGCTTCATTATTTACACGGACTCCTCCATCTTAGGCGGTGTCGACTCGTACACTCACAGACAACGTGTATATGCATACTACACAGATATGTACAAAAATACAAAGAAGATATTGGCACACTCGAAACACTCACGTGGGCAAGCAAAGCGCGTATCACATGGCTCAGATTCGCCGAACGGGAGATCATCTCTCCGTTTCGCCACCGGCGCTGCTGGTCACCAAAAACAGAATTGGCAATGCGCGATGACGCACGTACATACGACTGTATACGACGCGTTCACCTTAGTAATCGCGGAATACAACGACGACATCACATCGAACGACGAACGCCAAACATATGGCGGCAACGGTGGGTCAGAGTTCAGTCTTAATTTACGTAATAAATAATTCACGCGGAAGATGTGCCTCTGTACACCTCTATACGTTGCGTTCGTCCGCCACACAGAACGTTTTGCTAACGCGAAAACATATTCTCCATAAGCGAATTCTTGTCTAATATTCAAAATTGCAGATTGTAGCAAAGGTGTCTCAGTTGAGATCTCATTTATCAATTTTCACCTCTTTCTATTTATTTTATATGTATTCGATATTACTGTGATATTATTTCTTTATAAGATTGAGAGAGATTCTTAATGTCTTTACATGAATTGTCGCGAATCGCGTCGAGCGAAATTCTACTCTGAACCTCTTCTTGACTGGCAGTTATTCCTTTAGGCAAACCACTTGACTGAACGACTTTCGAGAGGAAAGTATACATATAATCGATATTCTGATGTAATATATATTATGTCAGAATATCGATTACCTATACACGACTCTTGTCAAAATGCTGAAGTAGCACGAGAACTTAAGTACTATGTTGGTATATACAAGCGCCTCTATTGGAGTCCCGATATTAGCTCTTCGATGCAAGTTTCGATATGTTCAGAAATTCGATGGGGACCCCCAATAGCAAAGCTCCAGTCCTATTTTACAACACGACTGATCCGCACGCTCAGTTAAACGTATCGCGTTAATTGAGTGTGAAAATCTTGCAGGCAGATGATCAATTGGCTAAAAGTCGGCCTCTCCTCCGCTGACATCGCCCAACAATACGCCATCACTGCGAATAGCTCGTCCGGGCAATTTATCGGTTGCGCCAACCTGTAGCCATCCCTGAGATAGGATGCCATCTCGAATGGATCCACTTCCACGTACGGCTGTTGCGCCAGTGTCGTCAGCTCCCACAATAAAACACCAAATGCCCACTAAAATCGGATAAAACAATACATCGTTAGAACAATGCGACGATATATCATACGTGTGAATTGCGCTTGAAAATACTCTCTATCAATAATTGCAAGCCGTATGAGTGATTGCGTCAGTTACTTCGAGTGATAATTCGTTCTAAGAAAAAATTTATTTGTGCAGAATATATCATGCAAATAATAATAACAATAATTTTTAAGGAAAAAGTAACACGTTCACTACCAGTATCATATATGTGTGACGCAATGATCTCTCACGAGAACTCAGCGTCATGTGCGCGGAAAAAATTATTTTTCCTGTAAACATTATTCAAACAAATCTTTTTTACATAATTGCGTAGAAAAAAGAATACAAGATAGTCTGTGAGGGAAATCCTCTAAACAGACCCTGAAAGCGAACGTGTTAAGATTAAAATATATAATATCAATTTCTTTTCTTATAGAATATTATTATAATATTATATAATATTAATATAATATTATTTTATTGTATATTATAATATAACATTACAATGTTACTACGATAATTGTTTGTAACAATAGTACTATTATTATATATAATTATATATATAATAATAATATTATTATTATTATAACATTATATGCGATTAAACAATTTTTTCTATATTGTCACTTACCACATCGGAGGCTGTGGTGAAGGTCTTACTGAGCAAGCTTTCTATCGCGAGCCACTTGATAGGGCGATTCTCATTATCGCCAAGGCAGTGATAATCTTGTGGGAACAGATCTCTAGCCAATGCATTATCCGTGATCTGTACTCTCAAGTCATCATCAACACTGAAAAGATAAAAGTCAATGAATTCGAGACCAATGATTGTCTGCGAAGCGTAAATAATCACATGGTTTCATAACCGCAACGTTATAAATACTATCTCTAAAATGAAAGTCAAGTGGGTATCAATTAGAGACGTACAGTAACATACCGGTTATTAAGTCTATTCGCGTAATTAATTCGGTAACGGGACGTAACGACTGCGGTTGCGTACAGGTACATAAAAAGCTGACCAAGTTGTACGTTTAAAGTGACGCGTTTAGCAGTAAAATTTTTAGCAGCATTCTTGGCGCGTTTATAGATCGCGTTTATAAGTCGTGTGCAACGTTTAAATGTCGAACAGAGATGTGTCTTCCTAGAGCGTGGACGCGGCAAAACAAGAACAATTCTTTACAGTTCTTACTTACACGCAATTTCTAGCAGCCAAGTCTCTATGTACGAGTCTCTTTCTGTGAAGATACTGTACGCCTTTGGCGGCTTGCAGCGCCATTTCGACGACTTCTTGCGTCGTGAGAGCTCTCGGAGGTCCTTCGCTACTTAACTTGCACCTCAACAAGAATCTCTTCATATTTCTGTAACCTGTATGTGGATACAGCAGGAAAGGCGCGCTTCTGTCCTCGATGGAGACACCGAGCACTGGAAGCAATGCCGGATGACTGAGCCCGTAGAGGGCTAAACCTTCTCGTAGGAGAAGCGCCACCTTTTCGAAACAGAAAAATTACATATTCATCAAAACCCATTTTGCGAGCCGTACAGCATTTAAAAAGAAATCTTATCTCTTTGACGTATTAAATTAATTCATCTTAAATTTATTCATTTAATATTCACATTAGAGATAGATAGATAGATAAATGAAAAGTTTATTCACTTTAAATATTCTCTTTAAACTTTAAACTTAAGAGCAATATGAGTGAATAAACAACATATACACGAATGTATTTCGTGTTTTCATACTTCGATAATTTATTCTAAGGAGTTGTTTAGGTGAAATTAACCTACTTGTGATTGAGATGCGTGCTCGGCGGCAGTTTTCACCAGAACGTCCCTTGGGGTTGAAGCACCCTCTTCGTGATAACTACCTCGGTACACGCGCCCGAATGTCCCCTCCATTTCGATACTGAGAAGTCGTACCCTGCATCTAAAGCAAGGCAAATAAATTATGCTAATTAATTCACTATATATACTCCTCTACATTTTTATTGCAGATTGCAGTCTGCTGAGATATCGTTTGACATTTGTCATGTTCATTCATGAGGCTTGAAATCGATGGGTCACATCGATTTAAACAATCACCTTTGCACCGTGATTTCCTGAATTCTTTCGTGCAGCTCTCTGCTAGGACGATCGTCCAGCCTTCTATAGGACGATCCTGATGCAGCGGAAGCAGGCGGAGGTGTTTCCGGTGACAAAAAGGTTTGAGCAGGTCCTACTCCGGTGCCTCTCTCCACGCTGCACGCCGAGCTGAGGCCTCTCGATTCTCTGGAATTCGCAATCGTAATGTAAATTTCTCAAAATTCGTGTCACAAGATCCCGTTTATCCTCTTTGAGAACTCGTTTTACTCACTGAAGTGGATCTCGGTGCCTTCTAGTCTTCTTGTCGCGCACGTAGTAGACTATGACCAGAACGAATATGGCCGCCATAAATGCACACGCGCAACCGATGGCTGCGTAAAACACTTGACCGCCAGAAGTGGTGCCAGAAGCGGCGACCAGGACCTCCTCAGGTCCGGTGTAGCTCTTATCCTTCAGACATATCTTCTTCCGCTTGAACTCGAGGCTGGTAATGTTCCTCCTCGACAGCGAGACGTTTATACGGACATTGAAGTCAACCTCCGCGTCGTAGGGCCCACAGTGCAGCGACAAGGCCCACGTCTGTAAACCGCTGACGGGCATGTCGCCGATCTGAGAGATGTTCAAGGAACTGCTGAGCGCCGAAGGGTTTTTGATGTCCACGGACAAGGAGTACGGTAGCTGGAAACATCGAGAATTCCGGTGTTTTAAGGACGGCTGATTGTACGACCGAGGATGTTCGAGAGGCAATCGAAAAGCTAGAAACATGTTCGCGAGGATACGACGAGAGCAATTCCGTCGATAATGAACAATAATGTGAAAGAGCGCGCTCCGTGCCGGTCGATCTGCGCGCTGGAGCGAGACAAACGAGATCACATGTCGGGCGAGTGGAAAGTCGAGGAGAGAAGTACGGCGAGCGTTCGATAAGTGCAGCGCTAAAGCTATATCTCTCGCGAGGAAGTCGGTGTAGTAGTTGAAATAGATGGAACAATGTCGAAGGACGTGAGGTTTGGCCGACTACCGCTCCGTCATAATCTCGAGAACGTTGAACCTTCCTGTAATCTCGAACGTACCATTCTCGGAAGACAATTTGCGCCTAACAGAGGGAAAGAGAAAGAGGGAGAGAGAGAGTTCAGAGGACTCCGGGAACAAGAGCGGCGAGAAAACGATGAGGATACAGGGAGAAAGAGGGAGAGAGAGAGAGAGAAAGGGATGAGGAGGCTCCGTGTGGAAGGAAGAAGCGAGGCTAGGCGATGCAGAAGCAGGAGCAAGAGCTCGCGACTGATTACTAGCTCACAGTGATGATCGGTTCTCGGCTAGCCACGAAGGAGAGTACCTCGTCAACCTGCTGGCTTGTCGCAACTATCTACTGCTCCTCTGCGGTCTTTTACGGCCACGAAGACCACGGCGGCCGTGCTATGTGGCCGGCCAGGCGGTTTCCTCCAAATGGATCGGCGGATTCCAGTCGAGAATCCCAAATGGGCGACAAACGGGATTTTATAAAAATTCTACGCCAGACGAGATTCGCGAGATTTTACGACCGGCAAGATCGATCGCGCGGGATACACGAAGCCGAGGCGATGATTGTTATATGGACTGGCAGATTTGCAATTGAAATTACGCTTGGAATAATTAATATACAGCATATCTCCCGCATAATCTCTCGCTTCTGCTTCAGCGGTAGCGATTGTGTAGAGCGATTGTATAATTGCTCGCGACAGGTGACACAACAAGGATATCGCGACGCACATGCGACATCCTTGAGGAATGTCCTTACGTGCCGCGCGTTGCGCTACACAGCTTCTCACACGATTCTCGCGAAGGGTGTCAATTTTCATTATCGTTCTCGATAACAGTGTCCATTGAAGCAGTATTTCTCGCCACTTGAGAAGGGAATCAATTAATGCGTGATTAAATAGTTCATTTACCCTTAGGCTGAAGTCATTGGTCGAACCTACTCCGATATTCAATTATGCTTCTTACCCGCAGACTAGTGAGGGATAAGAATTTTCACTATAATTATTCGACACTATAATTATTCGATAATATCTACAAGTAGGCTTTCCACGTTTTCTCTTACTTAAACAATGTCCATTATTGTTCACGGCAACAATACAACGTCGCATATCATCTCGTTAATTCTCCAATACGCCATATGCTGCGGCGTATTCTCGATACGTTATACGATTTGCGATACGGCGCGAGGGGAGGAAAATTGCTGCTGCTGCTTGCTGCTCTCGCAGTGCAAATACCGGCGCGGCGAACGTCCGATCGAAAATTGAATGCGCCGCCACGTAGAGCCGCCGGGAGGATTCTCCAATAATTCGACGTGTACAATGTCACGTCCGGAACCGCTTTATCGGGACACAATTCCCGCACGGCTTTGACGGACAGGCGCTGCTCTAAGTACCATTCAGGCCACACGGTTTTGCCGTGGAGGTGACGGATGTCTTTGCTGTCGCTCGTCAGTCTTCGCCCTCCTCATCTCCTTTGTCTCTCTCTCTTTCTCTCTCTTTCCCTCCCCCCCTCTCCCTCCTGGCTGTCCGCTGTGCGCGCCAGGACAGCTGGAAGAAGTGGATGGACCACTTTGTCCTGCTCCTGAATCCATCCTTTTTTCCACGCATCGTCAACGAGTCAATCGGACACCCCGCAGCATTCTGCTCGCTTTTCGCCGCCACTTTGTCAATGTACCGGGGACGTTGACGCGACGAGCAACGAGCACAAGTGACTCGCGAGAGGCATCGCCGATAATGACTCACGGAACGAGCGAGTCCGCTTTCGATTTTATATCCCCGTATGAATATGCGCGATTCCACGCCGCGTCGTAACTCGCGCGCCTCCCCGTCAACCGCGTCGTTACATTAAGAGTAACATAAAATTAATTGGCGCGGTGGGGCGCTCGTCGGTTACTTGTGCAAGACGAAAAATGCGAAAGGTCGATTGGACGAGCTCCTGATAGCATTCCAGATAGAGTTTCATGATTATCACGATGTGAGATAACTGATGACGGGAACTCTATACGAGTTTTCAAATTACATTAAAAAGAAACATGTAGCAAATATATTGGGTTCAGTTAAACGTTAAATTTACATCATACAATAACGTAAATTTTCACGTAAAAAGTTACACTCAGATTTTTATATTATACTTTGTGCATCACATATTGTTTTGAATAAATTTTGATAACCTTGTTTGTATTTCTTTTTGTATTTTTATTCCGTCGTTCTCTTTCTATGTGATAAATGTCATATTACTTATAATGGATACAATTATAGATCGATTGGTAAAAATGTTATCAAAATTTATATAAGGGACTTACAAATAAATCTATCCAAAAGTTACACTCCAATTTCTTTTTAATTTGGCACAAATGTAGAAGTACAAGAAATATTTAGGTTATATTTTTTTCATTTTAATCTACTTTGAGTGTCACGGACAGTTAGCTTTTTAATGTTTTCACTCCTATCATCAACAAGTGCAACAAAAATGCATAAGAAATAAAATTGTATACAAGATATAGATCTTTTTAGCTTGTTGATTATGAATAAGAAGTCAAATGTATAAAATTATTTGTATAAATAATAAAATATTTAAAGAAAACACGTAAAAAATAAAAAAAATTATTTATACAAATAATTTTTCGGTTTGGCCGAGATTCCAACCATTTTTGACTAATTTAGCACAGATTAAAAATATTTCGGTTGGAATCTCGGCTAAAGAAATTTAGAATGGTTCGTGTCTCAGTTATGCCGATTTTGTTAAAATTATTTAACTAAATCTTGTATTCAGTTTTATTTCTTATGCATCTTTGTTCTTCTTTGATGATAGAAGTGAAAACATTAAAAAGCTATAAACTGCCCGTGAAACTCAAAATAGGTCAAAATGAAACATATGACCTAAATATTTTTTGTACTTCTACATTTGTGCCAAATTAGAAAGAAATCGGAGTATTTTGGGTAGGTTTACTTGTTAGTTGGTCCATGGAGTATGTTGACTGTGCGCTTTGTTATCATGAGAGAAAAATGGAAACGAAATCATAAAATACTTCTTTTAGAACGTAAATTTTCTCAAAGTTTCATTAAAATCAGAATAGCATTACGGTTAAAAAATAGAAAAAACTAATTTAGGAGCAACCAAGTACATTTTCGAACGTCTCGACATTTCGTATTAATATTCTTCATCATGAGTGGATCAAATTGAGTGATGTGTTGTTAATTATAATCAAGTCTCTTGCAAGTATATGATACATGTTTCGGGCGCAATAAAAACAATTTCCATTCATAAACTGATTGAAATCAAGCATATGGACGGGCGAGGTAAAGTTGGCCGCTATTTAAAGCCTGGCAGGGCTGTGAAGACGTTTCACGGAGACCCTGAAACTGCTAATTGGGATACATATTTTATATATGGCCTCCCCAAGTTGCCAGCCAACTTGATCCAATACCGGGACAAGATGGTCACGTTACAGCATGTCTACATTTCGGTTATTGCAGAAGAAAATAAACTTACGAATCGTTGCGGACATAAACACATAGAAGAAGGTTGTTACTATCACGTTTGTACAATCACAATAATTGTCTCGGTTATCTGAGAAGTTATATAACCTCGAGATTCGAAAAGATGTAGCATCTTGCCCCGATTTACGTCTATCTGGGATTAATAAGCGTATTTAGATGAGACCAGGAGGAGGTTGCGCAACGCGAGAAACAAACACGGATGAAGAAACCAGAAGAGACCCGGAATAATTAATGGCCTCTTGACAAATTGATGTATCGAGGTGGTTTCCGCGAACTCCTCTCGCTGAAACACGCCGAACGTCTCGTCCGTTAATTTATTGGACAACCTACGCCGTGGCGGTATGTTAAGAACCTGAGAAACGGAAAAGAACGATATACCTCGATAATCTTGATAAGTGCCGCGCGCCATAAGGACACGGGAGAAACACGAATAAAGATCGGCTAAAGGTCCCGAATGGCTGGATGGTGTGATCGCTGAACCCCGAAGAACGCTCATTTCAAAGATCCGTCGTACGAGATTCGTTCGTCTCCGGCGCGTCTTACGTGCGGTGACGCGAATTCCTACGTTAACGAGCAATTTCAGCGTTTTGCAGCCCCGGGCGATTTTAATCCCGCGCGAAGAAGCGAGAGGAAACGTGGGAGGAATGGCGTAAAAATCGCAGGAACGTAAATAAGGGACTTGAGGCTACTCTCACCGGCAATATCATGCGCGTAAACATCTTGCGCACGGATAATTCTTGTCCTCGGACACCGCTTTATCTCTGCTCGCGCACACCTTTATATTATATCCCTGCGAAAACGTTTGTGCTTTCGATTCTCGCACTAACACGGCGAATATCGGAGATTTCTTGCTCAAAATTTGCACAAGAAACATCAATGACCAAAAAGACTCTCAGGCGTACAATTAGTAAATAATTGGGCCAATAAGAGCTAACTCAAGTTGTTTGTTGCGAATGTTTTACGTTTGATGAATTTCGAAAGTTTCGAGCTTTTCAATTTGCGAGACTGTAGCTCTGTGCTAATATAATATCCGCATAGAAGTTTCCCAAGATTATCTCAGATACAACATAGAATCTGATTAGAATTTGTCCCAAAATTAATTATCTTACTATGATAACCAAATACTAATAGAAAATCCTATCCTTGCCCTAAACGTGGGTTTTCTGTTTAGAATCGAAACAGCAATATGGGAATTCACCCTTTTTCTCAGTCGATAATATCGATATTAAAAACGGGGGATTCCATTTTTATACCAATTATTGTGTGTGTATTCAATCGAATGAAATATCAAAAAATAAAATATTTTTAGAACACTGAGCATTTTACTGAATAATGAAATTATTTGGAAAGTCAACATGTTTGACTCAATTCTAACATAAAAGGATCAGAAAAAATTTAGGAAAAACTTTGAGTAAGCCCATTAGAATCGCATGTTTGAAATGTTAACTTCTAACCAGAACTTACAATTATTTTAAAAAATCGGGCTGGATGCCAATTAGATCTCAAGAAACTTTTTATAATTACTACAAATTAATTTTTTATGCCTCTAACACACATTGCACACTAATTGTATACTCAACCTTTCATTTAATTTCTCATTATACATTATCTACATTATTAGCGGCATCTTTACAGTACGACATTTGTGGAACTCAGCACTCACATGAGAAAATCGATATGTATGAGTTTGCTGCGACTTACCGGTCTACCAGAGAGATTCTCCCACGTGAAGTGGATCTTGTGAACCTGCGCTGGTATAGTAACGACGAACTTGATAGCATATCTGTTTATGACGCCCTCTCTGACATAAAATAATTCCGCCTCCTGTAGACCTGGAACACACGAATTTTATCTTTGATGCATTATTCAACAAACAAATGAAATATACGACAATTTTTTTTTAATTAACACTAATTTCTGTCAAGATAGCAACAAGACTCGTCATACTCGTTGTCTAAAAACAAGAATTATTCGTTTGTTTGCATTTTAACCTTTAGCATATAAGGGAACTATCTGATACAAATTACAGGTGGATGACTCATTCTCTGCTTCACTCGCGTTACAATCAGCGTAGCGTGCATTTGTCCCACAAATCTGCGGGAGCTAGGTGTGTCGTGACTCGGCCATTAAATGCGTCCACTCGTATATCTCAAATGTCACGAAAACTTGACAAATATTGGAAAGTGGAACTTCACATAAAGTGCTGGAGAAATCGTTACTCTTAACGTCGGCGTATTTCTCGCGAGGGATTTGTGCGGAGCGCGCGTTTCAAGTTATAAGGAATTAAAAGATTTAGGAAACTAAAAGAGTCGTAGGGGATTGCAGATAAAGTAAGTAGATAAATTACAATAGAGTAGTTTTAAATTTTCTGGTAATAAATCTACAGTATCTCTACATAATCACGATCTACTTTCCGAGCATGAATACAAATCGCGTGAGGCGGAACATAAAAGCTGGTTTTTTCATTTCCTCCCTTATTTGTTCCAAAAGAAAGAGGTGAGAAAGAAAGAAGAAGAGAGACAAAACAAAGGCGAAGATAGATTCAGAATTAAATTGTTAGCTTGTTGTTTCTAGCAACATAAGATAGATTTGTTCTTTTGTTTCGTGTCCTTCGAGCAACTTAAGAGAATATTAAGAATGTAAAAATAAATAATCACTTTTTACTAATGGAATATATACAAGCATCTTCAAATATTATTCGAGAAATGATAATTTCTTGCATTTTCAAAATTTTGATTTTTAGTGTTGTAGAGAGTTTTGATTTTAAATTTTAAATTTAAATTCTTGAACATACGCACATTCTTAAGATAGTTAGGCAAAACAATAACATCAGCTGCAAGGCTATCGTCTTGCCTCTCGATCTCCTCCAACTACAATTACAATGCATATCCAGATTTGCCAGGCATTGCTAAAGTAAAAATTATTATTGTTATTATTTTTGTTACTATTATTATATATTGCACATTCCATGCGAGAAGAGTACGTAATGTCCGAACGGACATGTCCAGTTGCTTAAGAAAGGAAAAATTTGCTCCCTTAGATCGCCGTTACACACGTGAATAATTAAGTACGCCGGCTGTCTCGTCAAATGGAATAACAAGTTGGCCGGTGATGCGCATTCGCTCCGCTAAATTTTCGCCCATCCCACCGGACCCCCGCACTTAGCACGCATTATGCTACCGGGCGACCCGACCGAAGCGAAGGTTGCCGCGCGGGAGCTACAAGGTTACGTAGGCGAGTTGGCGAAGAGTGGTGTGTAAGGGGGGTAAGGGAGGAGAGTCCGTCGTGGAAGGGACCGGGACACGGTCACACGTTGTGTACTCCCTCAGAGGGACTATCCCCGCTGTATCTGATAGCGTGCTTAACGAGGCACGAGTTGGATTTTTAAGTCACCCGAAGACAATGTGCCGCTGCCTCCACGGCGTCGTGTCTTTGCTTTTGGCTCGCTTGTGGCTCGGGTTCAGTCTGCGTCTCCCAGCCTCTTCTCTTTCTGTGGCCCCCGGCCTTTACCGGTTTTCTGCATCAGATATCGTATACCCACGACCTCGGCGGCCGTTTCTGCGGGCCGGCGTTCGCGCCAACCCTCGCGGGGGCCCGTATCGTAAAAAGGACGAAGGACGAAGGCGCGAGCCCTCGTCGGTTTCTCCCGTCACAAATAATTACCTCCGGCCCCAGAAAGTTTATGTATCTGACGGACTATTATCCGCCGCCAAAATCGATTTCCTTCTGCGCGCGTAAAGAAGCCAGCACGAACAACAGACGTAGGTAATGCTTTTGAATACGACACGCTAAGCACCTCGTTAGCAACAACGCCGTTATCTCTTTCGCAAATATATATATATGTATATAAAGAGAGAAAGAGAGAGAGACCCACTTGCGCTTTACGCATAATATACGACTCGATTCACAAGGATAAAGATCTAACGGATTGCAATTAATTGCGCCCCGGTATGTCTCTACCAGCTGATCCAATTCGCGCGCGCACAGGGGCCTCTGTGGTCCCGTCTCTCTCAAAGGGAGTCTCGTTTCCGTGATCGTTAATCCGTGCCATCAGTCCACTCCATTCCCGCGCGTCGGAAGGCTGGAAGATAAAGTATAATCCTCCCGACATCAAAGATAACTTCACCTCGTCATCGTCTCCCCCCAGAGTGCTGGCGACGCTCCAGCTATGACCTCGTTACCGCGACTTGCATTCACCTCTTATCTAGTCAAGAAGGGTGCCACCAACCTCTTCGGCACTCTTGCCGCGCGATTATGCGGGAACTTTGTAAGCGGGTGGAAGCAGGTCGACGAGTATATACCAAAGATTCTTTGATGTCTAGGAGCGCCTGCCGCGAGCAGCGCGACGAGGAAGCCTCGAGTTCGCGTGCAGAAGAAGAATAAGGTGGGGGGGACTTAAAGAGAAGGAGGAAAAAAGCCCTTTCAGTAGAGGCGTCGACCCTTGCGAATGGTGCCAGACGCAATTGTCACGGGGGATTCGACGGGGCCTGGTGCCTCCTTTTCGCAGGACTTGCACGACCTGCCATTTACCGTGTTCGCTGAATAAATAGCGTATCCTCGCTACCCTTTCGTGGTCAAGATCAAAGATAAGAAGCAAGGAGAATTTCCGCACGACCGTAAAATTTGGCCACCCTATTGTGGCAGTGAGATGCGTATCTAGGACCTCTGGCGTGCGGCACGGCGGAAGGCGACCGACTTTACGTGTCTTGGCGTGCGAGAAGCTTCTCTTGGCATGAAAAGTCAAATGCCAATGGAGTACATTTCAAGAGCAAATAGCAGCAAGAAAATTGCTGTCGGGACGCGGAGACATTTCGTAAACACCCGGCGAGAAATATATGGATAAAAGCATATGGATATAAAACTGGTAACGTTAATCCGGATAACGAATAAATATGTCACTTCAAATTCAAGTTATTCGCGGATTCGCGTACCTCATTAGATATATGATTAGTCGAATCCGGATCCGAGGTTTAAGTTTTCGACGGAGTTGGTCAAACACTTTCGTAGCAACTACTGAGATTCCTCTCAAACATTTGACAATTAATAAGTCAATATAGATATAGATATAGATTCAAATATGGATTCGCGGATCTACGAATATCTGAATAATGTAATCTTGATGTGAAATGTCAGATCGGAACCAATCTCGTGTACACGGATTTATTCGAATATTTAGGAATCTAATAGACATATAAAAAAAGATGGCGAGGTATGAGCGCAGCCAACAAAAATTTCACACGCCACTACATTCCGCACTGTCCAAACACAGCATTGAGTCAAGCTGACGAGTAGAGGTCGTCGAATAATAGGGCGAACTCCCGCGAGGGAGAGGGAGATGAGAATGAAACGTTCGAGAGACGACAAAGCATTATTAGAAGTAACTCTACAGTCTTCGAATAAATTCGAGGAGAGACCTGGTATATTATAAAAAATTATCTTTTCACGCAGAAGCAACTTTTATACACTGAGAGAAAGAATATTTGAGAAAAAAAATGTACCATAGAGAGATAAAATGAAAAATCTATTGTTTTGAATATTTCACGTCAATATAAATCGGAAATATTGAATAACAAATAACAAGTAATAAATAACAAATAACAAGTAAAGAGAAGAAATATGTATTGCGGAATTTCCCAAACAAAAAACGAACGCGTATTTTATAACACGACGATCTGCAAACCAGCCAAGAGTCTTTCTTTGTCCTTCATTATACATTTTTGAACCGCTGGCCGATCACCGACGGCAAATATGAGCAATTGCAAAAAATCCTATCAGTAGATCTCGAGAACATCAAGAGCGGCGTTACGTCTAATCGCGACTTCTTAATCGAAATCTCCGCGCCAGAGTAGGTGGCAGTCGAGTTTACGAGTTGAATATGGAAACGAGCCCCGAAGCAAATGAGCGCTTGTGTGTGTGCATCGCGCCGAGGCGCGAAACCGTCCGCGAAATTCTGCAGAGCAGCGTGTCCCCCGCTGTCAAAATACGCCATTGAATGTAGTTGACGGGCGCAGCTCAGGACTGGTCGAATAAATGGTGGGGCCCCAAAATGAGACCTCGCAGAATCGTCTTTAACGGCGTCTGGCTACCGTCGGAAAGAGACCGTAGGCTCCGGGTCAGAGAAACCCAACACCTACCGAATATGAAATCCGGTATGCGTATAACGAGATCCTCCCGTATAGTGATGCTTTCAAAAGCGGGAATTGGAGCAGGTGAGGGGCGGAGGGAGGGAAGGGGGAGAGCAGAAAGAGCGAGCGAAAGAGCGGGGGTGAGGGCGAAAAATAGAAAGAAAGAGGGAAATGCAGAAGGGTGGAGGCGCGCAGGTCGAAGGGACAGGAAATATTGGATTTACGCGACGCCTACTCACAATGCAGCGTGCACGATTTTCGTTCGATTCCCGTTCCATGCCATCGCGTCCCGTACGCACTGCGCGCATCAATAGCCCGAACGCGACAGGTCGCCGTGTAGAATGTTGAATTCTCCAATGGATCGCGCGAAGTGAATGCGGCGAGGTCGTGTAGGGATTAATGCGCGTCAGAAATAGAATAACATACAGCGCATTTCGCGCTGGAGAATGCGAGTTTTTCGAAATGCGCTGAGAGCAATTTCGGTACATGAAGCGTTATGGAGGCTCCCATTCAATCGAAGAATTGATATTGACCCGCGGAACAATGTTGATAATTACAATTCATCATCGAAATCATAATTTCCATTTTTATTCCACAAGCACAACCACGATTAGCAGAAGATTGAAGACTAAAAGTTAGAAACTGTCATTATTACAAGGAATCCTTCTCGCAAGGAATTATTATTTGCTACCAACATCTTTGCGCGG